CATGCCTCCTTCTACCACTTATATATTTTACTTCTTTGCCTGAAGATCCTGGATTTTTCCCAATCTTTTTAAATAGTGGGGATTTTATGTACTGTGGACCCCTTTGAGAGCCTTTAGGCTGATGAGCAGGTTAAGAAACCATCTGAACAAAAACGTTGGTACATAATGGAAAACAACGAACAAGTTTTAGGGAAAGGCACATATGTGCATATTCTATCAGTCCTACCAAATACAGCTGTGCCTGTGGAAAGGGACTTATGAAGAGCCCAATGGAACCTCTTCCTCACCTTCCATTTCTAGGACTGTAGGGCATGAGCAATCTGTTAGAATTCATGCTCCATGATTGCAGTCATAGGATTGTTGTCTATCACAAGACGGTATATTTTTTGACTCCACAGAGTGGGGAGTGACGGAGACAGGATGTTTGTGTTACTGTGCTCCATGAAGTGGGACTATTGTCCTTTGTTCTTTTTCTCTTAGCTGTCTGATGCTAGAGAGAGAGGGAGCCATGTTGCAGTGCTCCGTGTGTGTTTATATGTAAATAAAGTAGTTTAGCCAAAATGCTGAGTTGCTGAGGTCTGTCATGCAAGGTGCGCAAACTCTGCAGATCCCTAAGTGTGCCAGTGTCGGTTGGCATTGGTCGCTGTGATGTTCAGGCTGAAGAAAGCTTATGAAGCTCCCAAATGATCATGCCGCCGGGCATGTGTCTCTGCCAGGGTCCTACTCGAGTGTAGGCTGAACTTCTGACACAATCACTGAGCTGGAGGTCTAGGGAAGAGACGGATCAGTGAATGGTTTTGCAAAAGGCATGTGCTAGGGGTCTATAGCAAATAATGCTGGCATGCTGGGTGCACAAGTACTTGGGGAAGGGAAAAGGGCTCCATTGAACCTTAGGCCAGCCCCTTCCACGGTGATATGGAGGATCATGCCCAGTGCAAATTTTGAAAATTAAGCAAAATGTAGAATTTATGCAGCCGGAGTCTTTGCTGCATCAGCGATGGGGAAACTGTGGCCCTCCAGATGGACTACAGTTTTCATTCTCCTTGACCAATGGTCAGCAACATCTGGAGGGCCCCAGGTTCCCCACCCCTGATCCAAATGGCTGTTTTCAGTGGAATAAAAATACTACGCTGGAACAATATGGTACTTACAAAGGCAGGAGATAGAGAATCCAGCCACTTGAGTGCCCTCTCCTTGCCTGTCCCTCCACAAGTCTGGCCCAACATTGTTTCTGTTGTATATCTTACAACAAAAACATACTGTTGAAAGCGAAATGCTATTGAAATCGATTGCTAATTAAATTGACGTCTAAATTAATAAATCACAGCTATTCAGATCATGTTCCTATGAATAATTTCAATTATGGTGAACATAATTATTAGATTTTGCATTTAATGAACCATATTGTTCAATGCTAGTCTTCTGACAATTGGGACTAATAGAATATGTTAACCTTTATTCTCCTCAGCTTGACACCACATTAGACCATGAATTAATATCTAAGCACTTAGGAGAGTTTCATAATTGAGTAGCCATTGTGCCTCCTTTGGCCTATGGGATGAGTTACGTTCTTCATTAAGTAGAAGCATTTGAAGTAAGCCATAGCAGCCCATACAATCAGAAGAGGGTTTCAGCGCCGGGTGTATCGTGGCTCTATGCAGCTACCTGGTGTATTTTGCTGGGGCTGAGTTACACAAATCAAGTCATAGATAAAGACACAATAATATAAGAAGCTCTTTAGAAGAATGATTGCCTCCTGTTGTACATGTCTTGTTAGATGTCACAAGTAGAGATGCAGCCAGACTTTGGCTCAGGTAGTTGCTGCTCACTTGGGATATGAACTCTGAGCTCACAGTGTTTGGACATATCCTAAGCTACTGGTGCCCACGCTTTCTGGACCGGATCATGATCCAAGCCAGAGATCCATTTCCCAGTCCTGCCCTGCCTTATCCAGGCACCTTCTGCCTGCTTATCTAGCCTGTCATGTCCTTGTGGTGTATTGATTAAGAGTGGTAGACTCCTAATCTGGTGAACCAGGTTCGCGTCTCCGCTCCTCCACATGCAGCTGCTGGGTGACCTTGGGCTAGTCACACTTCTCTGAAGTCTCTCAGCCCCACTCACCTCACAGAGTGTTTGTTGTGGGGGAGGAAGGGAAAGGAGAATGTTAGCCGCTTTGAGACTCCTTCGGGTAGTGATAAAGTGGGGTATCAAATCCAAACTCTTCTTCTTCTTCTTCCTGATGCCTTCAACTGTAACCATGCCAGGACTTGTCAGTGCTTAGATGTATTGAACCTAGAAGTACATGGGCTGACCCTGGCCAGTTTTTTTTTTAAGTCCTCAGGTTTGCCAGGGAAACATGTTGATGGTAACACACGTCTGTCAGGAAAACCATGGCTTCCTCCAAACTAGCAGTCTACGTGATCAGGCCCCAGGGCTAAGTAAGAACAGAAGGCAGCTAGCCTTTGATGAAAGTTGAAGGGCAGCAGGTCTGAGTATATCAGATAATGCATGCACCTAATCATTTCTAAATTTTTATTTATACATACTTGTAGTTGCTCTGCATTATTTTAAAATACTATCTTAGTTGTGCTCACATGTTTTGCATCCACAAGGCCCCAGGTTCTGGGAGAGACTTCGGCCTGCAAGCTTGGAATTTGTCTGACTCTGTGCAACTTATCATGGCAATAACTGTATTACTGTAAATTGCCTCAAGTCATATGTGAAATGATAATGATGATATGCAACCAGGACAACTGTACCACCCATTTGAGAAAAAGGTGATTAATAGGCTGGTTTCTAAATGTCTGCTGAACTTAAATGCTAATTCTTAAGGAAACTGAAAAATAATGCAAAGTATAATCAGAAATCTATTCTCAGAGAAAATTGTAGAGCAGATCCTTTCACCATAATCCACTTAAAAAGTGTTGCAAAATATATTGAACATTGTATTTCTTTCTTTTTTAAAAAACCTTATTAGGAATATAAAGTGTCTGACAGTTTTCACAACTCTCAGACAACCGTTGTTGGGTTTTTTTGATGCAGTTATCAAGCCACTGCCGTATTTTTTTTAATTATTAATAACCAGGTTTTAAGCTCCTAATGAAATGAAACTATATAGAGTTCCACAAAAAATGCGTCTAGTCCAGGGGTCAGCAAACTTTTTCAGCAGGGGGCTGGGCCACTGTCCCTCAGACTATGTGGGGGGCTAGACTATATATATATATATTCTTTTTTGGGGGGGGAATGAATGAATTCCTATGCCCCACAAATAACCCAGAGATGCATTTTAAATAAAAGCACACATTCTACTCATGTAAAAACATGCTGATTCCTGGACCGACTGCGGGCCGGATTTAGAAGGCGATTGGGCCAGATCTGGCCCCCGGGCCTTAGTTTGTCTACCCATGATCTAGGGCAAAGGTTATAGAACACACAGCAGCATTTCTTGTTTATTACACCCCAGTTGCCTCCTTGTGCAAGAACCATAATGAATAAAGTAAAAAAAAAGCACCCCACAAAAATAACATTAATAAATCAAAATATTCTTAGCATGCTCCACTCTGAATTACTTCAAGAGCCTAGTATTTTATAGGGGGTGGAGTGCCATCTAGATCTAAAACAAATTAAATGTGCGAGTCCATTCGATCAGGGAGCATTCTAGTGCAAGAGGAGGTTTTCTCCACCTCAATTTTGGGAAGTTGCTCCCATTCTCTGGCACATGAGGAGCTGGCCAATGTTGAGACAGGTATGATGGCTTTGCTCTACCTACTTTTTTGCCTCTGGTCCTGCCCCACACTCACCTTTAACCCCTGGAAGGTTGCTCATGAGGAGATGTGACTCTTAGGCTGAAAAATGCCCCCCGCTCCTGGGTTAGAGGAACAAGTGACAGTCACAGGTTCTCATGTTACTTTCTGTCACATTATTAGGTGAAACTTGGAAAGTGTGACTATATCAGATGTGTGTATGCAAATACCTGTATCATGCAAGTTACCTGTTGAGTCTACACTTGCCATCCTGATCTTTCCACTTCCAGCCCCAATGCTGTTTTCATCTTGTAACAAAAGTTGCCGTGCTTTGAGGGGAAAGCTCTGGTACATCCTATAAATATACGGACCCACCTTATTCCTGTGACTGTAGTTTGTTTTTAACTTTAAATAGGTCTAACTCACCCAGGGACCTTAAAGTGAATGGTGGGCAAATAATTATAATAATACTCGGGATGAAGTCATTGGCATGGAAATGGGTTCTTGTGAATGGGGATGTTGTATCACGATTACAAGTTAGTTTAGTTTATTACGGTATATTTATATATCACATCACCTATCCAGAGGCATCTTCCCAAAGCGATTTACAACCGAGTTTGTAACCTCTAAATATCATTTTAAGCCCTAAAGCCACAGCGGTGGCAACCAAAGGCTGAAATCGCAGAGCTTTGCATTTCTACACATATATATTTTTCGACATTTAAATTGCCCTAACCCTTATACCTTTTCGTTTTGCGTTCTGTGCAGTTTTTGCCAAAGAATTTCTGTATGCTTTGGGAAGTGTCAGGTACTAATTAGCCAGATATACACTATATTTATAAATTTCCAGGTGATGCATACTGCTAATTAGGAAGTAATATTTTGCAATAGAATATGCTGGCAGTTGAGAAATTCCTTTAGCTTTCTGTCCCATTTCTCTGCAGGGCAGTAGCTCAGTGGTAGAAAGTTTGTGTTGCATGAGGAAGGTCTCAGGTTCAATCTATGGCATCTTCAGGTAGGGTTGGGAAGGACTCCAGCCTAAAATCCCGGAAAGCGGCTTCCAGTCAGTGTAGGCAATACTGAACTGGATGGACCAATGTTCTGACTCACTATAAGGCCAGCTTCCTATGTTCCTTGCTGCATTCACCTGCCTTCCACTGCCTCCTGCAAAAGTTCTGTTGGATTCTTCTCTGTAATATATTTACATCTCCCTGTGGTGTAGTGGTTAAGAGTGGTAGACTCGTAATCTGGTGAACTGGGTTCGCTTCCCCGCTCCTCCACATGCAGCTGCTGGGTGACCTTGGGCTAGTCACACTGCTTTGAAGTCTCTCAGCCCCACTCACCTCACAGAGTGTTTGTTGTGGGGGAGGAAGGGGAATGAGATTGTTAGCCGCTTTGAGACTCCTTAGGGTAGTGATAAAGTGGGATATCAAATCCAAACTCCTCCTCCTCCTCCTCCTCCTCCTCCTCCTCTTCTTCTTCTTCTTCTTCTTCTTCTTCTTCTTCTTCTCTACAGGTTATCTGTTTCTTTAGAGACTTTCCTTCATGCTACCACAGAAGAATGCTGACCTTTTTTTTGAAAATAATTTTTATTAGTTTTCAGATACAATAATCCAATAATAGCCTCATTATAGCAATGCCAAATTATAATACAATTACTAATGCCAATCATTTAGATGCAAAATTATATAATTTAGGTACCCCCTGCATGCTAGAATTGACGGTTTGATGGTTTGCTTTATTTCTGCATTCCAAACTCTTATTAATTTCAATTGCACTCCAGTCAAAATAACAATCCCTCATACAACAACTGCAATATTTACGACTTCCATTTGCATCAATACATTAAATGATTTATAAAGCTACAGGTGAAGCATTCAAACTATATCCTTGTTCTTCCGGGGTGTGGCAATTATTCTGTCTGTGATGCTTCTTCCTGTCCTTGTAAAATATTATGTCCCAGTAAATAACCTGTTTTTGCCATTTTCCTCTCAGAAGAATGTTGACCTTGTGAAAAATTGACACAGTCAACCCTCCTTATCCGACCAGCCACCTATTTCTGAAAAAGCCGTTCTGGAACTATTAGAGTTCATTCAAGAAGCCATCGTCCATGTGAGCCAGGTACAAATGAGCCTGAGAGCCAACAGCTCAACACCACGCATACAGTGACACCTCGGGTTACAGACGCTTCAGGTTACATATAGACTCCGCTAACCCAGAAATAGTACCTCGGGTTAAGAACTTTGCTTCAGGATGAGAACAGAAATCGTGCTCCGGTGGCGCGGCGGCAACAGGAGGCCCCATTAGCTAAAGTGGTGCTTCAGGTTAAGAACAGTTTCAGGTTAAGAATGGACCTCTGGAACGAATCAAGTACTTAACCTGAGGTACCACCGTACTCTTCTTTTACTTGAGCTCTGTCACCTATGTGAATGGCCCACACCTATGGATTTTAGGTGATGCCAGGAAATATAAGAACTCCTGACCTCACAGTGGCCAACCAGGTGCCTGTGGGACACATGTAAGCAGGACCTGGGCACAATATCACTCCTGCAGTTCCCAACAACTGGTGTGCAGAGCTTGGAGGCAGAGTTGTAGCCATCGATACTGTCTCCCCCATGAATGAGGGTGAGGTGAGAGACTCCATCAGGCAAGGCCTCCTTCCACCTGCCTTGCGCCACCCTCCAACCCTAGGAGTCCTCATAAGGGAGCTGTTTCTGGAGGAAGAACTGTGAGGGGAGAGACTCCATCAGGCAAGGCCTCTTTCCACCTGCCTTGCCCCACCCTCTAGACTCTGCTTCTCAATTTGTATTGTATTATTTTATGTACTGTGGCTTGCCGTTGTTTTATTGATTATAGTTTAGAAATTATTTATTGTAACTGTTGAGTGGATTTCTGTTTAACTTTTATATGTTATTATTATTTAATACTATTCTAATGATTGTTGAATGTTACTTTTTGATGTAGGTTGCCTATTTCAAAGTTATGTTTTATTATCACATTTTTGTATTGCATTAGATTGTTAAAAGATGTACATTTTTTGTTTCTTCAGCTTGTAAACCGCCTTGAGTATTGTAAGATAGAAAGATGGTATACAAATTAAAAATGATGATGATGATGATGATGATGAATGTGTCTGATTTTCATTTAAGTCATCCAAGTCGGTGACCATCACTGCCTCCCATGGGAGAGAATTACGTAGTTTAGCTATGCACTGCCTGGAGATGTCTCATCTGTAATGCTTGAACTGTGATGTTGGTTTCATACACAGCCATTTCTCTTGACCATCCATTGAAAATGGATGTATGAACAGACACTTAGAAAAAGCAGCAAGGGATAGCTGGGCAAAGGTTTCATGTCATGGGACAGAGAGTTCCATTCCATTTTCTTTTCTTTTTTCTTTCTTTTATTAAATTTTCTTAAACAAGGAAAACTTTAAAATATATACAATACCGACATACAAACATTCAAGAATGGTAGAGACTGCAAAGAGTATAAGTAGAAAAAAGGAGAAGAAAAAGAGATGAATGTGTGAATAGAAAAAGAACATAATTATATCTAATGTGGGACTCAGCGAATAAAAGTAACTTCCGACTAAGTCCATTGTATTGATTTACAATTAAACTATTATTTACGCAGTTACATAAAGTTGTTTTTCTTTGACTTAATTTGACGTTTTCCAACAAATATTTTATATTGCATTCCATTTTATATTGAGTTCCATTCCATTTTCAATGGTCCCAAAAGTTATAAGAAAAGTTAGAGACTCTCCACCCAACTTTAAAGCATTCGAACTATAGCTTAGACCAGGGTTGGAAACCCTTTTCAGCTTGAAGACCACATTTGCTGATGGGTGACCTTCCAGGGGTCACATGACAGTGGTGGGAGGGGCCAAAGGCGAAAGTGAGGAGTGCAATAGATGTGACTCTTACCTGTGTAGAGCAGAGCACATAACAGCCACACAAACCTACCAGCCATGCAAACCTATCTCAGGCCTTTCATTTCCACAATTCCACAATTCAGCCAGCCAGAAGCACTCAAGGAGGGTGTGGTGCAAAGCAACTTTTAAATGCTATTATTTATTTATTTATTTATTTACTTACTATCCTGCTCTTCCTCCTGAAGGAGCCCAGGGGACACACAAAAACAAAACAATACAATTTAAAATAAAAACAAAACCATAAAAAAATTAGAAACCTTTAAAAACATGCAAAAACAGTCACATATCCTTGCAGCTAATATTTTCAAGCATGCATTAGCAATGCAAAACATTCTCCATGGTTTTTTGGATTTTCTAAGCTGTGCTTTTTCCTCACCCAAGTTGAGCATATACGCTCAGTGTATTATATTGCTCTGCCTATGTGTCATTTTTTTATATAAATGTCTATACGAGCCCCAGAAAAACAAGCATGTAAATACATCTATATGTATGAATATATCTATGTATGAATGCATGTATATATTTGTGTGTGTGCGTGCGAGCCTCTGTACGACTGAGTGCTGTGCATGCGCACACACGCAAACACACACATAAATGTACAATTTCCTCTTGCTGCAGGTTGTTGTCTTGCAAGGCTGACAGATCGTCCTTGTCATGTGACCTACTGTCTGATTTCCGACTCAAGCTTTTCATTTCCTAAATGATAATGGATAAAAGATAAAATCTGGCACACACAGGTAATCTTTGCCATCTTAATATTTGTTAAGCTTTTGTGATTTACTGAGACGTTAAAGTCATCGCAGGTCACACAAAACCTGCACATTGGATCTGCTTCATAAAACACTCTGAGTGAATCCTTCAGTCATTTATGTCACTGTCCTTAAACTAATGTAGCTAAATAACTATGTCTTCAATAATTTAGAAGTCTTTCCATTTATTTCTGATCCCGGCTATATAGGATGGGGCCATGAGCAGCTGGTCCTAGTGATTTGTGGGCGGCTGAAGAAGAAACCTAACATATTTCTTGCATAATATAGTCTTGATCCAGATTATGTTTGAATTGAAACATTTGTTCTGGGAATCCTAGGAACACATCTATATCCAAGGTGACCCACGTTTAATCATGGGGGCTCTTTGTGTGGCCCAACCCACACCTGAAGGAGGCGTTCGGAAAGCTTTTGTCCCTTTCCTGTTTGAGCACACTCACAAAAACAGACACACACAAACACATACAATTCCAAAGGAGTCATATGATCTAGATCATATGATCTGCAAGAGAATGTGTCAAAGGTGAAATCTGAGCCATGTGGGGGCCTTTGAATACTCCCACCGTTGGGAGAATCTAGTGTTGCGACTTCTAACTGTGAGATGTTCCAAGGCTCTTGGCACAGCTCAGGTTTCACCTTTGCCAGCTTTTCTATACCCTGAGGATGTGATGAAGGGCAGGAAAAAAGCAATGATGATGGAAGCAATACTTCCAGCGAAGCTGGAGAGAAGGTAAGAAGAGCCTTCCGCAGAGATGTACCGATATCACCGTGTCTAGATCCTAACCGAGGAACAGTGGAGAATTTCTAGCAAGATACTCTTAAAACAAATGAATGTAAGTGAGAGCCTATTTCTTGAAGTTCACAGAGGGTGTGGATATTGGGAGCTGAGACATATTGGTTGGAATAGTTATTTAATATTTTGCACTGACAAATAATCAAGAAATGGAGGAGGGAAATTTGACCGCCACAATTCTGATCATCCAGTTATTTTGATAGAAGACAATTATATTTCTCTCACGCTGACTGAAGTGTAGGTGGGTTCCCATGAGGCAAGACACAGTGATAACAGCAAGAACCTTTATTGAACTAACAGAACTGGACAGCAGGGGCAAAGCAACTGCTTATATACATTTCTGAAGGCCTGGGCCACTCCCAACATGATTGGCTGTCTAAACTTTCAAGCTGCGAATCATGACTCAGGGTTTAAGGGCCAATGGCAGAGGCCCAAATCCTGAAATGTTATGTCACTGGATATCATGTATCGAATCAGAACACAGGGGCTCAGAATCCTTAGTCCAGACTCAAGCTCAGGCAAACACAGAGCACTGAATATATAACACCCACTATCTTTCTCTTTGTTTAGTCTCCTATAGACAATGGGCAAGGAGCAACATTTATATTGGCTTGTGAAGATGGGAATTTTCATTGGTGGCACCAGTGTTGTGGAATACTCTCCCTGCTGAGAGAAGAGAGGCCCCATCAGTATTGGCATTCTGCCGGCTCTTGAAGACAGTTCTTGAGACCATTATTTCCTTGATTTCCTGATCTGAACAAACCTTCCTTAACCGCTGTTCAAACTGTTACGCTGTTTTAATGGGCTATTTTATTATACATTTTATCTATGGAGGTTTTGATGAAACGGTTTTACTATTTATGGATAGCAATATATTTATAATTGGTTTTATACTTGTTATTTTGCTGTTTGCTTTTATTTTTTCATGAAAACTTTGGTATTTCTTTTTGAAATGAAAGGTAGTGCATTAATAATAATAATAATAATAATAATACTTTTTGTAATGCTGTTGTCTTACATAAACTTACATAAGGTTATGGTGCCTATGTGTCCTAGTTTACAGAGGACAGCCCTCTTTTTGGTGCTGGAGGAGACTCTTGAGAGTCCCATGGAAGGCAAGAAGATAAAATCTATCCATTCTTAAGGAAATCAGCCCTGAGTGCTCACTGGAAGGACAGATTGTGAAGCTGAGGCTCCAATACTTTGGCCACCTCATGAGAAGAGAAGACTTCCTGGAAAAGACCCTGATATTGGGAAAGATTGAGGGCACAAGGAGAAGGGGACGACAGAGGACGAGATGGTTGGACAGTGTTCTCGAAGCTACCAGCATGAGTTTGACCAAACTGCGGGAGGCAGTGGAAGACAGGAGTGCCTGGTGTGCTCTGGTCCATGGGGTCATGAAGAGTCGGACACAACTAAACGACTAAACAACAACAAAAGGAACAATCCTGCCTTTGAACTGACTGGTCCAAGTCCAGTGTAAAGATTAAGAATGGGGATCAAGGGCCTTGAAGTTTCCCATCAACAATCAACGCCTAGACAGAAGACTGAGCAGGTAGGTGCAGAGTCATAGTTTCCCTCACTATGGTGAGATGTATTCATTTGCAGAAATGAAATGAATTTAAAATTAGAAACTGAGGGCAGATCCACGCACACTGAAAATACATGACACCTGCCAAGAATCCTTGGAAGTGTAGTTCCTCCCTCACAGAGTTACAGTTACCATTACCCTTAACAAGCTACAGTTCCAAGCATTATTTGGGGGGAGTCATGTGCTTTAAGTGTGTGTTGGAGGTGCTATAAGTGTATGTTATAGATATTTTTAAAAGAGAAGCTAAAATGGACAGACTAGCCCATCCCTACCTGCATCTAGGAAGCCATCCCTATCACCAGTTCCTGCCTCCCACCCCTTTTTGCAGAGTGGTCCAAAATTCAGAGTGAAGGGAAGAAGGAGCTCCGCTGTGTCAAGTCCTTCCAAGTTTTGTGAGACAAAACCTGAAAAGTTACCACCCCCAAATCCATTTATTTTATGTGCAATGCTGATCATTTCAACTCAGAAGTAAGTCCTGTTGAATGCAGTGGGGCTTATTCCCAGGTAAGTGAGGTTAGACTTGCAGTCTCTTTTATAGACTGACAGTCATAAACTGCACAATAAACAAAGTAGTAAATTCTCCCAGAATGCTCAGGAAAAATAAATGAAGGTGAGCCTGGGGGGAACTTGCCATGACTAACAACCATGAAAGCCTATCTACTTGACCTGACTATATCTGTCCATTGTTAAAAAATATTGTACAATGGTACCTCAGGTTAAGTACTTAATTCGTTCCGGAGGTCCGTACTTAACCTGAAACTGTTCTTAACCTGAAGCACCACTTTAGCTCATGGGGCCTCCTGCTGCTGTCCCACTGCCAGAGCACGATTTCTGTTCTCATCATGAAGCAAAGTGCTTAACCTGAAGCACTGTTTCTGGGTTAGCAGAGTCTGTAACCTGAAGCGTATGTAACCCGAGGTACCACTGTACTACTTTGGAATGCTCTGCATATAATGTAGGCTGCACGGGTTCTGGCAACAAATTAGCACCGGATGAAGTCACACGCATCTAATATCCTGGATATGTGCATGGGCTGGTCATGGTTGCTCAGGAGCGGGGGGAAATGACAATCATTTTTCAGTTATTAATTAATTGAATTATATTCTACTTTTCCCTTCCAGAAAGGAGTTGCTGAAAGCAGCTTACAAATATAAATGCCACAATGATTGAATCTTTTAAACACAAAGAGCGATATGAATACTCAAGTGTTCCAACACTTGTTAAGGATTTAGAGGCTAGACGGATGTCCTGGAACTCTTGAAAGATAGCTGGCCGATGCTAATATGTGCCAGATATAGAGTCAGGACTTCCACACAATGATGGACCACATAGGAATTAGTCTGCTGCCCAAGTATGAGGATAATGAACATATTGTCCAATTCATTTGGGTTTCGTATCTATAGATACCTTCTTGCTTCGTTTAAAGCAATACATTTACACAAAGACGTTTTCATTAAGCGTTCAAGTTCTTTGCTCCCTGTATTTGGTTGTAGGTTGTCAACGTTACTATTCATTTGTATTTCAGGTCTCCGAATAAGACATTATCCTCAGGGTTTTGAATTGCTTAGATGCCAGTCTGAAAACATCCGAGCTTGTACCTTCATATTCTATTGTCTTTGATGAGGGATTCTTTACAGCAAAATGCCTCTTCTCATTTGGAAGATATCTCCTTTGCTGACAAAACCTTGAGATGTGGTGATGATTAAGATACATAGCTGTGCTTTAACCCTGTAACTGCCAACCTTTAAGTTGTCATTGACTATATCACAAAGGTATCTGAAGACTTCCTCAGGTAAGTTTTCCTCCCACTGAGATGGTTGTCCTACATTTGGTCAGAAAATCACAACTGTGTATGTGTTCTTCCCAAGGGAAGCTGCCTCTTAGCCAACACAATCAGGTGCCAAGAATTAGCACTGCTGATAAGGTAGACCTGTGTACCAAGACCATTTAATATGCTCTTGAAACTTCAAAGCCCTCCCACGTGACTGCGATGTGTTTTGTGGTGGCCCTACCAAACATAAGACATTTTGAATAAGACGTGACTGTGACCCTCTAGCACCACGGTTCTAAGTGAAGAACATCACCCTGAAGCAATAATGCACTCTGATCTCAATACTGAAATTCAGACTCTATTCACACTCCCCAAGACATGAAGAAAGGCGTTGCCATTATCTATTGGTAAACATGGGAGTTTTTGTTTCCCATGCCTCCCAGGTCAACTAATAAAACTGGAAGGCATAGAGAACTCTTGAGTTCCATGCATCTGGAGAACAATGAGATACCTGAGCATCCAAACCAGTTAAGAATGAGGCCCATAAAGCCTCTCCTATCTCTAGCAAGTCCTTCCAGTTGCTGGTTTCCCTACCCACTACTGCAAGGGTCTGGATGCTTTAGTTGTGTACATGGGTCAATTTTACTCTTGTGGCTACCCTGCGAGGTGACAAATAATGACTGTTCACACACTATTCTTCATGGGCACGTAGAGATTTGAACCTGGATTTTACGAGTCCTAGTCAGATTTTCTTCACTATAAGGCATGTAACATTGGATACACTCTAGATAACCTGACCCTGCTTTGCAGTGTTGACTGAAAAGCAAATATTTGTACATTCCAGATGAAAAAAACCACACCTCTTGCTAGGAAATATGACAGCATTGTGAATGGAGGCAGCAGTTAACCATGTGATAAAATGGTTTGCAGAGTGTGAGCTGAAGCCTAGGGCCACATTAAGGACCATGAAATGCAATATCGTTTTATGACAGGCCTAAGCATTTGAAATAACTTGTTACGGATCTCAATTTACTGAGACTAAGGAGAGTTTGGAGGAAAATAAAGCCAATTAACCAGGGAAATCTCAATAGCTGGGATGCTGGGAAACAACCCATTTCCAAATTCTGCTCTTTGCTGGGCGACTCTTAAGGCTCAGCATAAACTGGCTGAGACACTTTACGACAATCTTCCTCCTGATTCCTCGAAAAGATATTTCTCCACTTCCACTGCTAAACATCCCTCTGAACTCTATTTAGTCTCAGTCAATTGAGGTTACAGCCACGTTGCTTCAGTTACTCAGCCCTGCCATTTAAAAGGGAGAGGAAAAAAGGACCCCAAAGGCACATTAGAGGGGAACGGAGTTGCCACATCTCTTTAAACATGCAGTTCCTTGCACATCTTTAGATCACAGTGAAAGATTAAATTGGTAGACGGCCAAATTATTTATTTAGAGTTATAGCCTGACCTGCTTGAATGGCGAAGGGCACATAAGGATAAAGGAGCTATCTCTTCCAAATGCGTGACAACAACCAACTGTGCTTAAAGTGACATCTAGTAGACCAGGGTGCACTCTGAAACTTTTGAATAAAGCAATAGGTCTACTTGCCAGCTACTTGACATATCCATAGTGGAAGTTCCCCTGGAAAACTAAGAATCCTTGGTTGAGAATCCTTATTGATTTTTTGTAAGGGATTAGAGCAGGCACAGGCAACCTTGGCCCTCCAGATGTTTTGGGACTACAACTCCCATCATCCCTAGCTAACAGGACCAGTGGTCAGGGATGATGGGAATTGTAGTCCAAAAACATCTGGAGGGCCGAGGTTGCCTATGCCTCGCTTAGAGGCTGATGCAAACTATCTTGGTCTATTAGGAACATCAAACTACCTGGAATGTGATACCTGCATTACCTGGTAGTAATAATTTACATTAGCATCTGCATCAGGTAAACCGTTGTTGTTCCTTCTCTTTTTGTTGCTGTTATGTGTTATAATGCCTATGGAGGGGATGGGGAAAGGAAGAATCTGGCCCACCATCCCATCTTGGATCAAATTTAAGTTTCCTTCCTTTGACTCCAGTGTCTCTGGGCTTGCGTTATTATTATTAACAGCTCAAATATATATATATATATATATATATATATATATATATATATATATATGTCTCAATATACTTCCTCTCATTTTCATTCGTTTCAGCATTGAAAGCAAAAGCAGGAGTTTCACTAACTAACCAGCTTCCCTGCAGATAGCTATCCTTATTAATGCATTATATCCTTTTCTGAGAGATAGGAAGATTTCTGCAGGCTCAGACAGGGAGAAGTTTCATTTTCTTTACTACTGACATAAAAATATTGAGTTGACAGAAAAACAGTTAACTAGGAACAGAGGTTAGTTATGTCACAAGACCGGCTCAAGCTTAAAGTGAGAGGGAATCTAATTCGCTTTTTGGTATTTTCTCTTAACATCTTCTGAGAGCTAGAAGCAATAGTGAGCTTGCAGGCTGCATGTAAAAAGGCAGCAGGTTTGTAAACTACAAGAATCGTACTAAATTTGATTACTTAAACTAAGTAAAAAGGTACCATCGTAAGAATTAGTATGGTTTGCATTTTAATGCAAATTCACACTTCCCAAATGTGAACCAAAACTGCTCTTCTTTGAAATTCAGAGTTCTCCAAATTTTGCAACGCAATTTTCCAACTAAAGCATGCATTCGCAAATATGCACATAATAATGAAAAGCTGCTTTAAAATGCATATTCTAGGCAGAACTATGCACAAATTTGGCAAATTAGGAGAAATGTCCATGGACATTAGCACAAATTTTCATGTAATTTTTTAAAATGAAAACTTATGTGGAAATGGGTTAAACTGAATTTAGGATTGGACTGAGAAACAGGGAGAATCTGAGATTGACAGATTTGCCCTCCCTTAGTAAGAGTGCATTAAACAAGAATGTAGATGCTTCTGAGAAAATAGTATTGTATCCATGTTTTTCTCTGAAATTCCTCTATGGCAGGGATGTTCAAACGTCAATAGATGTTAGGTTGGATCTGGAGCTGCCCTTCTGCATGCAGAAGGGCCTTTTATGACTTTGTGCAAAATCACTGCTTAAGAAGAGAGAACTGTGATTAAGACACGTGCTTGTTAGGTTTGTGTTATGCCACTGTGCAGTTTTTGGACTCACAAGACTCTGTTGACATTCCAGACTGTTGGAAGTCTCACGGGAGATGGGAGACGGATGTTGAAGTTACTGGATTCCTGTTTCTTTGTTCTGTTGTTTTCTGTCTCTCACAGAGAGCAGACACATATTCTTTTCTGTCCTGCGTAGTGAGAAATAAAGCATGAAAATGATTTATAGGTGGTACATAACATCAGTCAAGCTTGCAAAAATTTATCATTTGCCCGATAACAAATGTTGGAAATGTAATGAAACTGAAGGTACATTCTTTCACCTTTGGTGGACATGCCCAAAGATTAAGGCATTCTAGGAGATGATCTATAATGAAATTAAAAAGGTATTTAAATATACCTTCCTGAAGAAACCAGAGGCCTTTCTCCTGGGCATGGTCGGGCCAATTGGTGATGAAGAAGGATAGAACTTTCTTTATGTATGCCACAACAGCAGCAAGAATACTTATCACAAAGTATTGGAAGACACAAGATTTACCCAGCCGGGAAGAATGGCAGATGAAGCTGATGGACTACATGGAACGGGCGGAAATGACTGGCAGAATCCGAGACCAGGGAGAAGAGTTGGTGGAAGAAGATTGGAAAAAATTTAAAGTATATTTACAAAAACATTGCAAAATTAATGAATGTTAGAAAGATGTTGGAATGAAGCTATATGGTTTTAACAGAAATGTAATAAAGATTTAAGTAAAAGTTGATTGATAATGGGTAAAAATGGAAAAATTAAAGGTTAGACTGTTAAGATAAATTATAGAATAAAAATTGAGAAAGATGGAGAGAATTTGCTGAGTTAACTGAACTAGAATACAAAAAGGGAGGTGTGAGGAGGTCGATGAAACAGGTAAATGAAAGGTAAAGATAAGGAATATTGGATGTGTTTTTGCATGTTTTTTGTTTTTAATTGTTTTCGTTTTTATTGTTGTGTTGCATTGTTTCCTTTTTTTAATCTGGTTCTTATTTTCTTTTGATGTAATGTATTGTAATTTTTTACTGTTTTCTTTTCCCCCTCTTTTTCTGTAATTGTTAAACTTTTAATAAATATCTTTTTTAAAAAAAGAGAAATAAAGCAGCAATGTAGCACATATTTCTGTCTCCTTCTGCTGTTGTCTGGGTACTCTGCGCAATGGAGAGCGTGCCTGAAGTCCCATTCAAAGGCTTAGGTCGTTAATCACCATTGGAGGAGAGCCGGAGGAGTAGCCTTCACAGCTCGGTCGTACGGAGGCTCCAACAGTGCTTCTGGTTGCAGAATGTTTTGTGCTCTCCTTAGTGCAACCTCCCAAGGTGCATTTTAGCATGAAGTTCTTGATTGATTCATTCATTCATTGATATGCCACCTTTCCTCCAAGGAGCTCAAGGTGGCATACATAGTTCTCCTCTGTCATTTAATCCCCACAACAACCTTTTGGGCAGGTTAGGCTGAGAGTGAGTGACAGGTCCAAGGTCATCCAGGAGCTTCATGGCTGAGTGGGAATTTGAACCCTGGTCTCCCACATCTTAGCCTAACACTATATGACCACTACACCACATGCTGCCTTCTGCCTTCTGGATGCACATGTAAAGGCTTAAAAGTCTTCTTTTGTGGGTAGGAATAAGTAAGTTTTAATATTAAGGCTATTCTGTTATCTGTCTGCTTCAACAGAACTGTAGCCTTTATCAGTCACTGCTCATGGGAAGTGACAAGGTAAAGACAAAGATATTGTGGGTCTAGTTTGGTCCCCATTGCTGGACAGCTCCTTCTGTCACCAGGGCAAATAAATGTCTGTAGCAGGGAGTTTGGATCTAGAACCTTCATGATCTAGAACCTTGTACAAGCAGGGTTCTAAAGGCTTTGGGAAGTCTACATGAGTACCATAGGCTCTGTGCTACAGATATTTCTTCTGACTGCATGGAAAGCCAGAAGGAACCACGCAATTGGGCTAGGGCTAAAGCCCCTTGCTACTTTAGTGTTGTGAACCACCCTGAGAGCTATGGATGAAGGGCAGTATACAAATTTAATAAATAATAATAATAATAATAATAATACTTGTGTTGACCTTTCACGTGAGCAATGACTGAACAGGGTTGCTGTGGTACAAGGAAATGAGGGGGCACGCATACAATGTGAGCATTTGCTTGAATTCTCTGGTTGTTTCATGGATCCCCTCATTTGCGTCTGAAGAATTATCTTTGAAAAAGATTATATTAAAGAGATTACGAACGGTACACAAATTCTGGAGGCAGGGGTAGGGGGGAAAGGAATTCAGAAGAAGAGATTTTCCAGTTAATCTGTCAAATCAAAACTGCTGGAAGACTGAGTAATATATGTTTAAGTGTTTTAAAGCAGTAATCTCCAAAGGGAGACAATTGAAAAATGTCTTTCAAATTATATACAACTTCAGCAAATTTAATAAGAGATGAGATTTAAGAAGATGCCGGATCCAGATTCCCTTGGGAAGGGTATCATGTGGGAGGGGCAATATTTATGCTGGAGCTTCTGTGATGGAGTTGCTCATTGATCCCAGGTTGCACACTGTCTGTCTATCATTTCTACATTGCTGTTCTTTGTATTCTATGTCCAGTTTTATGCTTAGTTCTTCAGTGTTCCTTTAGCATGCACAAGTTGCAAGGAAATGGCAATCCCTTTTGTTTTGAAACTACAGAAAAAGGAGCAGCTATGAGCATCCCGTGAACCAAATCTAACACCATAAGAAACTCCCAAAATAATTAATATGTGGAAAAAACAATGGCTGGAGCTTAATGGCAGCTTACTCTGGAGGTGGTGATGCTGTTCTTTAAGGGTCTATCCATTTCTCAGTTTAATGTGGATTGGGAACCACTCATGCCTCCTTGTCAGCAAAACATTCTCCTCCAACTACTGCTGCCTCACACTTTCCTCTCTGGTTGGCCAGCCACTCTGGGTGGTTTCCAACTCTTCCTGGGTGGTTTCCAACTCTTCCCCAGCCACTCTGGGTGGTTTCCAACAAAATACAGTGGTACCTCGGGTTAGATATGCTTCAGGTTACATACGCTTCAGGTTACAGACTCCGCTAACCCAGAAATAATACCTCATGTTAAGAACTTTGCTTCAAGATGAGAACAGAAATCGTGCTCCAGCGGCGCGGCAGCAGCAGGAGTCCCCATTAGCTAAAGTGGTGCTTCAGGTTAAGAACAGTTTCAGGTTAAGAATGGACCTCCGGAACGAATTAAGTACTTAACCCGAGGTACCACTGTAGTAAAATACAGTAATCCATCAAACATTAATAGCTTCCCTAAACAGGGCTGCCTTCAGATGTCTTCTAAAAGTCTGGTAGTTGTTGTTCTCTTTGACATCTGGTGGGAGGGTGTTCTACAGGGCGGGTGCCACTACCGAGAAGGCCCTCTGCCTGGTTCCCTGTAACTTGGCTTCTCGCAGTGAGGGAACCGCCAGAAGGCCCTCAGCGCTGGACCTCAGTGGTAGTACAATGCGGGTGGAGACACTCCTTCAGATATACTGGACCGAGGCTGTTTAGGGCTTTAAAGGTCAGCACCAACACTTTGAATTGTACTCGGAAACGTACTGGGAGCCAATGTAGGTTTTTCAAGACTGGTGTTATGTGGTCTCGGTGGCTGCTCCCAGTCACCAGTCTAGCTGCCACATTCTGGATTAGTTGTAGTTTCCGGGTCACCTGCAAAGGTAGCCCCACATAGAGCGCATTGCAGTAGTCCAAGCGAGAGATAACCAGAGCATGCACCACTCTGGTGAGAGAGTCCACAGGCAGATAGGGTCTCAGCTTGCGTACCAGATGGAGCTGGTAAACAGCTGCCCTGGACACAGAATTGACCTGTGCCTCCATGGGCAGCTGCGAGTCCAAAATGACTCCCAGGCTGCGCACCTGGTCCTTCAGGGGCACAGTTACCCCATTCAGGACCAGGGAGTCCTCCACACCAGCCCGTCCCCTGTCCCCCAAGAACAGTACTTTTGTCTTGTCAGCATTCAACCTCAATCTGTTAGTCGCCATCCATCCTCCAACTGCCTCCAGACACTCACACAGGACCTTCACCACCTTCACTGGTTCTGATTTCAAAGAGAGGTAGAACTGGGTATCATCATTCTTAAATCTGGAGATTCCCTATGCAATTGGTGTAGTTCTCCAATTCGGATTTAGCCAATCTCTTGATTTAGGGAAGCATGGATGACACCCCAAGTCCAAATCTTTGGATGGCCTTTCCCAGTGGTTTCATGTAGGTGCTGAAAACACGGAGAACCAGATGGAATTCTGTAGTACTCCACATGCCAAAGATCACAAGGCAAAGTCCCCCAGCACCACCTTCTAAGAGACAGTTTCCCAAAAGTCCCAGAGCTACCGCAAAACAGGACCTCCTAAACCCATTCTGGCAAGATGATGCCGAAACATGAAGAATGGTAGATGATGTTGGAAATATATACACAACGTAATTCAGTAGATAGGAAGATAGAATAACTTGGTTGGAAATGAACACGGAAGAACGAGTTTGTCCTGATCCACCTATAGGCAGCATCTACTCAGAAGGCTGCATCCCTGGCTAGATGAGGAACTCTGAGCATCATTTGTCCCCCTGATCCATCTTATGGGGTTATGTGTACAGAGCTATTGCTATTTGGCAATAGAGCTACTAAACTCTTGTACTATTTTTAAAGAATGCTTGAGATATGTAGCCCCAGCAACTAGACTGGGAAGAGGAACAGGGTGCACAGTAGAGGCATGTGTGCAGAAACCTCCCTCTGTGTTCATATGGCCTTTAGTGGGATCAGTGTGAATGAGTCACTCGAGCTCTGTTTAGCCTAGCGATTGTGCCTTTCTACCTATTAATAGTGCATTCTGTCTCCAAACAATTTCCTTGAATACAGTTCTTTAAATTCTTAACACTGTTAGATGATACGGGTCCTTGATAAAAAGGAAAACACAACAACCGGGCACAGTATATACACAAGACATCACATATTAAATATTTTCATTATAAATTTGTTCCTAAGAAGTCAAACCCTAATCCAGTGTTTATTAAAACTGGACAGGATTTATTAAATTGATTCAAGTTTATCAAATATGAGCAGATCTTTACATATATTACCTTAATTCTCTTTCTAAATATTTGCAAAACGCCTTACAGCTCTTTGAAGGATTTTTGTTTTGTTTCGTTTTAAAATAAAAAATTTTGGGAGGGAAAAGTCCAGTGCCACAATGCTGAAGTTGACTCTGTTCATCAACAATATGCTGTTGTGCCTTTGGATGCTGGCAGCAGCAGCAGGAATACAACATCCTCTCCAACAAAATGTGATTGTGCCTGCTACCTATAGCACCACGTTTAAGACAACTTAGCAGGAACCCTCAGCACTCAAGGGTAGCTGTGTGAAGATCTGTTAGAAACAAGCAGGAATGTATCAAAGATGGGGACCTGGGCATGACCACAGGAGATTTAAGCTCCACACCGGATCTCCCAACCCACCCACCCTCTTTTTATGCTTTTTTAAATGCTGTGGTCTAAACCACAGAGCCTAGGGCTGGCTGATCAGAAGGTCGGCGGTTCGAATTCCTGCGATGGGGTGAGCTCCTGTTGCTCAGTTCCAGCTCCTGCCCACCTAGCAGTTCAAAAGCATGTCAAAGTGCAAGTAGATAAATAGGTACCACTCCATCAGGAAGGTAAACAGCATTTCCGTGCGCTGCTCTGGTTCATCAGAAGCGGCTTAGTCATGCTGGCCACATAACCCGGAAGCTGTCTGCGGACAAACGCCGGCTCCCTTGGACTATAGAGCGAGATGAGCGCGCAACCCCAGAGTCATCCACGACTGGACCTAACAGTCAGGGGTACTGTTACCTATGACACAACCTTGCTATGGACAAATGTCGCTGCCATATTGTTGGGGCCGGGTGGGAATTTTTCCATTTAGTGAACTGGCACCAACCATTTGGATTTCTCTTGCCTTGTAGCAATCGTCACTACTTTGTAAGGTTAGGCATTGGGTAAGCCTTTGTTTATTGGAGGGGAGGTTGTAAGCCTCCGCCTGCCCCTCCTCAATAAGGGTATCGTGTTAAAGGGATCCGGGGTTGTGGATCCTGTCCGATGCCCGGATGTGGGCTACGGCCATGCCATGACCCCAACGGGGACACCTCGGGGTGCCCCTATTTGAAGTAAGTCATAGGGTTCCTCCTATTGGTGGTTTACCCTTAGTTGGACTCCCTGCAGACAGGCAGGAGTCGAGATATAGCCCGGTTTTAGGTAAAGGTAAAGGGACCCCTGACCATGAGGTGCAGTCGTGACTGACTCTGGGGTTGCGGCGCTCATCTCGCTTTATTGGCCAAGGGAGCCAACGTACAGCTTCCGGGTCATGTGGCCAGCATGACTAAGCCGCTTCTGGTGAATCCAGAGCAGTGCACAGAAGCACCGTTTACCTTTCCGCCAGAGTGGTACCTATTTATCTACTTGCATTTTGATGTGCTTTCGAACTGCTAGGTTGGCAGGAGCAGGGACTGAGCAATGGGAGCTCACTCCGTTGCAGGGATTTGAACCACCAACATTCTGATTGGCAAGCCCTAGGCTCTGTGGTTTAATCCTAGCCCGGTTTTACCCAATGCCTAAACCAAACAAGTTTGGAGCAGCTGCGGGTTCAAGAGGAGCAGCCAGGCTGGCGTGCTGCACATAGTCCCCAGCATCTGCTGCCAGAGACAGCAGCCTCACTCTGCCTAATGGTAGGACCAGCCCTGGGCATGATGTGGCCAGTAGGTCAATTTGTTGGAACTGGCTTGCTTCCCACTTTCGCAGGTCTTGTAAGCGGTACTAAATGAGAATGACTTCAGCAATGAAGTTCCACCTCCCATAGCAATGGAAGCCCACAACCTCAAGGGCTTCCTCGATCTCCTTAGCACTGGAGAAGGTATTATGTTGAGCTTGATTCAATACTAAGTGAGAAATAAAAGAGATTCATCCGTTTACCTGCTACTGATCGGGTCCATGCATTTTTATCCTGTTAAACTCTTGAACCCTTCAATAATACAATGAAAACATGTTTTGACCGTTTGCTGAACATGACCTGGCACTTTTTGTGTCCACACACACACACACACTGATTTCGATGGATCATTTTGGACTATGAAATGCAGCTTCATTAGTTGTCCTTGACACAATGGCACATTAATAGCAAAGCTTTTTGGTACCTGGGCTTAACCACGAGGGGGGGTGTATCTTAATAGATGGAAGGCTTTGTACTCATAAATTTGTAAGAGCTGCTTACATTATATTTTAAGGCAAAGTGTTGAGGATTCTCCACCTCCCTCTTTCCCCCCTTGTCACAAAAATGATAAGTGTTTTTGCTCACCTCTAGCTACTTACAAGCCACTGAATATTATTTATTAATATTATATTATATTATTATATTATGTAATATATAATAGCACTTGTTGCATTCAGAAGTCATATTATATGCATTGTGCCTGATTAAAAAAGGAGTTGTTTTTTTCTCTGTTGCTGCTATCTCTTGAGATGCTCTCAAAAAATGAGATGTTTTGACCCAATGCACTTGCCTGAAAAAATAATGTTTTAAAATAATGGCTGGAAGTTTGCTAGTGGAAAGGAAATAGAACTGGATTTCCATCTCTTCTAGTCATCTGGAAAGAGATAGGAAGGGAGAGCGGAAGAGACTTCTGTGTGGGCAGCAGGCAAAAGTTTTCCTTTAATTTTGAAGGTGATAAAGTCTGTACAGTAGAGAAAAGAGGATGTCCTCTATTCCAGCCAAGTGTGTTAGATTCCAACGCCTACCATCCCTGACCACAGGCCACAAGATCTCAGAACCCAGGCAGGTTCATAGGAGGACATACAACCTTTCATATAGCCTGGACCTAAGCTGTGTAGAGCTTTATAGGTCATAAACAGGACTTTCAATTGTACCTGGAAACGGACTGGTAGTCAGTGGAGCTGTTCAAATAAGGTTGTCAAATGGTCCATATAAATAGAACTACTAGCATTACTAATACCCTGTTTTGCTCCTGTGCTGTTGCATCCCCCTTTTTTGTTTCTTTTTGCTCTAGCATGCATCTTTTAGGATTCCACCGGATCCTGATTTAACCCATAATAGTTCACTAATAGGGCTTCAGTTCAGTGATTGAGCCTCTGCTTTACCCTGGGTTCATTCTTTGGCATCTCAGATAGGGCTGGGAATATCTCCTGTCTGAAACCCTGGACAGCCATTGCCTGTCACCACTTAAATAAAGTATGAGCACCAAGGCCCATGTTGAAGTAAGGGTAGTGAAATCGCAGCTAAGAAACTCAAACCATATATATGACTGACACACTTCTTTGGAAATTAAGCCAATGCCCAGAATTTAACATTCAAAAACTTTACTTGCAGAAATTTATAGCTATGGATGAATCAAAACGTAACATTTACAGTCACGTGCTTATGGGCACACAGTCTACTTCCAAATAATTGTATTTTCAAGTGCTCAGCACTCAGCCTTCTGTATCTCAATTAAGCCATGCCTTGCAGCTCCTATGAGAGATTTCCACTTTTACCTTCTCCTGCAGCTTTGCTCTCTTTCAAGCAGAGAAGAAGGACTCCAACACTCCATTCATCTTAGTAGTGTTCTCAGTGGATTCTAAAACACAGTAATCTTGCTTCACATAAAATGGAGCCTCTCCTTAACTAAATACCTCCAATAATAATAATAATAATAATAATAATAATAATAATAATTTATATCCCACCTTCCCCAGCCAGAGCCGGGCTCAGAGTGGCTAACAACAATAAAAGTAACACAGTTTACATAAAATCACACATTCTAAAATCAATTCATTCTAGAATCAATTCAGAATCAAATTAATGGCAACCATTGGGCTAGAGTTCTATGAGGATTACCAAAGGATGGGCCAAAGGCCTGGTGGAACAGCTCTGTCTTGCAGGCCCTGCAGAAAGATGTCAGGTCCCACAGGGCCCTAGTCTCTTGTGACAGAGCGTTCCACCAGATCGGGGCCACAGCCGAAAAAGCCCTGGCTCTGGTTGAGGCCAGCTTAACCTCCCTGTGGCCCGGGACCTCCAAGATGTTTTTGTTTGAAGACCGTAAGGTCCTCCGTGGGGCATACCAATGTTATGAGAACTACTAGAGAACTCTCTAGAATTCAGTTACCAATCAATCTAATTTAAGCACATAGTAATGCATACAAGCATATGCAATTTCAGTGAATTAAAGTACTATACTTAACAGACCAATGGTCAAACTGGGTATAAAGGTGGCTTCCTCTGTGCCATCATATTGTGCAGGTTCCTTGAAAACATAAAACAGAATCCTAAGCATGTTACTCAGAGATAAAGTCCCATTGTGTTTAGTGGAGCTTCTTCCCAAGAGATGCTCGCATAGGATTGCAGCCTTAGTTTTCACCAACTCACCTTGCAAATCATAGCCAGTTTGCTTTTTTCCCTTCAGCTGTCAATTTTTCTTTTGCCATCAACATGAAGGGAAGGGAAGTTGACAAGGTGCCTTTTCCAGCACAAAGAGAAACTGAGAAAAGCTCATTCACTGTGCTATGAGAGTGAGAGGAGATGAAGAGCGAATGTAAACGCTGATTCTAGTGCTGGTACAAGGACTATCCACATTCAGGGGCAAAATATTGCAGTTGAGGAAATGCAATATTCCTGCAAGGGAAGGCAAAATGTCTAGACGCCCAGCAGGTAATAAATAACAAGTGAAGATCTCTTCCATTGTCAAACACCTATCTGAACAAGGCAATTTAGGACTGGAGATTTTGAGATGTGACATGTTAGGGCAGTAGAGGAGGTTGTCAAAAAAGAAGAACAAACGCACCAGTATTATTATTATTATTATTATTCCTTTGTAATCACAATTTCAAAACATTGATATGGATTTTCAATAGTCTCCAATCTGACTGGGTTCAAACAACTTTATATAAGGGCCTAAACTTAAGGAGTCCAAGCCTTCTCAATCACTTTGCCTGGCTATACATCTTAATTTCCATCAAACAAAATAATGTGAGTAACTTAAGATAAATAAGAAATGAACAGTTATACTTTATTTGCTCTACAAATTCAGACCTGAGTGCCCATGCCATCAGCTCCTGAAAAAGCCACTTTTTGGACTCTATTTTTCAGAAGCTTTGTTTTGCTTTGAATTAGAAATGGTTTCTTGGCAGAAAGGGAGTATATTATCGATCAAATCAATTTATCAGTCACTACTGATCCCACTCTTTTCTGATGACGCAATAAAATGCAGATCTCACGCCATGAAATGGACAGGGACAGGGCAATGTCGCCGTACAGTGATTTACCACACACACAAATGTACAGGAGAACTGGAACTCTGAAGTGAAGAATACTTGGTTTGGACCTACAAGCCCTGTTGTTCTGGAGCATCACAAATGAATTATAATAGCGTACCACGGGCAATGGGTTACACTTATGGTGCCCACATCCCTATTGTGAATTACCTGCAGTGAAAGCTAATGGCTTTCTTAATATTGCCTGTGCTCCAGTATTCATACAGGTGGCCTCTAGGGGCCAAACTAGGCATGATCTACCTTTAACGTGCAGATAATTTTAAAAATATGTTGGGTGGGTTGATAATGAGCAAGAGCGCAGCATTCCAAGAGAGGGGATTTAATATTTTGCTCCGTTGTTGTGGACTTGAAGGTGGTATTTGCTTGCAGGATAAGTACTTTCAGAGGAGGGATTATCTCCAGGACCATGGATATATAGATATATAGATTTTTATATCTTTTTTTCTTTGATAGTTTCTGTATGGTTTTGTCCCGGCCTTTGTCTGGTACAATAAAGCATATCTGCTTCTACCAGGACCATGACAGGTAGGAAAAGGGTTAAATTCCACTCCCCCTCACCTGCTGTAGTCCTGATCATGATCAACCCAACCCCCCAGCTGATGCTATTTGCATTTATTTATTTATTTTTTTTAAAAAGACTGACTATTAAATGCTAAGGCGCATTTAATCTTATGTTGAGTTTGGGTCTAAGAGGATTGGAGATCCTGGTTGAATGTGAACAGAAGCAGGAGGGCCTAGTCTCAAGCTGAGCTTTGCATACCCTCCAAGAGTCATGCTTTTCCAGGGACATTCCCAGAACTACGGAAGCCATCCTGGCTTCTGTTTTGATCCTGGAATGTCTCCATTTCCCACGCCAGTGCTGCTACTGCTGAGCTTGGGGAGGAGAATGAGCTGGTAGTTGTCTCAAGTGGCTGGGGTGGTGGCGGGCCTCATCGGGCCCCATGGACTCCTCACAACCCATATGATGTCACACATGTGTCGCACGTGTGATGTCATGAGCCTCCCCAATGTTGGACAGAACCCGGTGCCTCTGGACTGGGGGCAGGACACCTTTTTAACCCCAAGGGGCATAATTCATTCCAGGCAACCTCCCAAGGGCCACATTCCAATGCATGGAGCAATTTCATGTTACCTTAGTAAGTACAGTGGTACCTTGGGTTACAGACGCTTCAGGTTACAGACTCCACTAGCCCAGAAATAGTACCGCGGGTTAAGAACTTTGCTTCAGGATGAGAACAGAAATTGTGCGGTGGCGGCGTGGGGGAAGCGGGAGGCCCCATTAGCTAAAGTGGTGCTTCAGGTTAAGAACAGTTTCAGGTTAAGAACGGACCTCCTGAACGAATTAAGTACGTAACCAGAGGTACCACTGTAGGTTGGTTGCTCCACACACCTTTCATCCAGACTAGCAAGAGACTGCATTAGAATTCAAGGACACATCCCAGCCAGGCCAGAAAACAAAAATTCAGGATATGAAGCTGGGCCAGTGAGGGTTATGGTCTGGGAAGGGGCTGCGGCCTGGAGGCCAGGAAAAGAGTCATGGAGGGCTGCATCACCTGGTTTAGACTGTGGACTTTCAAATGGTGCTGCATGGACTTCCCCCTTCCCCATAGACACCAATGCGTATTACTTCACTTCCTTACTCCAAAATGTGGGAAATCATCTCTGCTGCCTTTGGAGGCCCTCCTGTTGACTCCTCATTGAGAATCAGTATGAGGTGTAGTGGTTTGTGTGCCATACCAGGGCCCGGGAAACCAGGGTTCAAATCCCCACTCAGCCTGAGTGAGCATTGGGTCAGTCACTGCCTCTCAGCTTAACTTACCTCATAAGGTTGTTCTGAGGACTAAATGAGGAGACAAGGAACCCTATATGCCACTTTGAGCAACCTAGAGAAAAAGAGTGGGTTTTGAACACACTAAAAGGATGATAATAAATCACAACAATAAAACGATAATAAATCGTAGAAGGAAGTTTTTAGTGTTTGATGTCGCATTGTGTTTTTTGTAGTTTCTGTTGCCCAGAGTGGCTGAGGCAACCCTGTCAGATGGCTGGCATATAAATAATAAAATTATTATTATTATTATTATTATTATTATTTATTAAGCCCTGTCCTGGCAGCACCTGTTATTGTTCCTCTCCCACAAAAGTCCCTCTGGATCCTGCCTAACAACAATGAAATCCCCACTGCAGCCACTGACATTGATAACAAGGCCTCTGAGTGCATTTTACCCCTGTATTGAAAAAACCCAAGCCACCTCTTGACTAGGAGATGACAAGAGTTCGGCGCCCAGCTCCACGTGTACTCAAAACACCCCATAGATTCATCCAGTGAACCCACGTCTTGGGTTGGTCGGGGAACAATGCCTGCTTATGTTTTTTTCAAGAGACAGCCCCAAAGTGTAGCATTGTACCACAAATAAAAGTGGTGCCACAATGCCTGTAAATCAGAGCTTTAAACTATGTTTCAATTATCCTTCTATTATCCAGCTGGTGTTTAAGCATGTTTATTATTCAAATCAGCAGAGAATGTGCGGCTGTTGTGTAAACAACTGTCAATTGCTGAAACAATGATTACAAGGCACCATCTCTTTCAGGTGTACTTAGAGGTACTTATACCTCAGCCACTTGTATTTAAATATCATGCAAACACAATGCTTGAGTGACTACTTTCGCTCCTGCTCCCAGTACCTCTTGCCAATTCTATTACATTAAGCAGGGAAACCTATTACATCTCCCCCCCCCATCGCTGCATTTAGATGCGGCCGTCCTCTGTTTTTAACCACTGTATCGCTAAGGCTCGAGTTAATATAATAGATGGACGAAGGGATGCGGCTGGAGAGGGGGGGGGAGGAGTGGTTTACATACCGTATATTGCAAGTGCCCTGCTCCAGAAGGGGAAACCATTTTGCTTGCACATTATTTCAAGCATTTGAAAGCTTTTTGCTAAAAGGCACACACAAAAAAGGGGGAAATGAGTTTTCTGAAAAGGGAATGGAAGATTCAGACACGGAGCTAATAGCTCTCCCGCACTCCCCAAATCATGTACCAATCTCAGGCCAGTGGTGCTTGGAACCAGGTTGCAGGAGCGGATGAGCGGCCTGATCTTGTGTATGTTTGCTGAAAAGCAAGTCCTGCTGGGGTGCGCTGGGACTTATTGATATATCGCTCTGGACCTCAAGGCCCCCCCAAAGTGGCAAGATGTTGTATAAATGCAAACGAAACATACGGCGAAAGTATACCCAATCCAAGCAATCCATCCAATCTAATATGAAATCGCAGAATTGCAAAAGAGCTATCCATCGTATGGGATGTGAGTTAGGAACGTTGATTAGCCTTGCATCGAGAAATAGAAAAAAGCACCAGTTGTTCCCTGTTGCTCGCCTAGGGTGTACACAATTCCCTACCATCTCTCTGATGGGGTAGGGGCCAGGTTTCACCAAGAAGCTCTCACCCAGGGAGGAGCAACACTCTTCTTTCTCCCTGCTGTAAACCAGACCTCAATGGTATGCATTTGGGGATTGGGGCCAGTGGATGCCTCCTCCGTTGGTTGGCTGTATGTGTGGAAGGAGACTATAGCAATCAGTGAGTGGTGATGGTTTCCAATTTTAAAGGTGGATAAGACAAATTCCTGGAGGATAAGGTTATAATAATAATAATTTATTATTTATTCCCAGCCACTCTGGGCGGCTTCCAACAGAATATTAAAAACACAATAAAACACCAAACATTAAAAACTTCCCTAAACAGGGCTGCCGTCAGATGTCTTCTAAAAGTCTCATAGTTATTTATTTCCTTGACATCTGATGGGAGGGCATTCCACAGGGCGGGTAACACTACCGAGAAGGCCCTCTGCCTGGTTCCTGTAACTTTGCAGTGAGGGAACTGCCAGAAGGCAGTGTCCAGGCTGAATGATGGGGGTGGAGACGTTCCTTCAGGTATTCTTGGCCGAGGCCATTTAGGGCTTTAAAGGTCAGCACCAAAACTTTGAATTGTGCTCAGAAATGTACTGGGAGCCAATGTAGGTCTTTCAGGACCGGTGTTAGATGGTATCGGCAACCGCACGTAGTCACCAGTCTAGCTGCCGCATTCTGGATTAATTGTAGTTTCCGGGTCACCTTCAAAGGTAGCCCCACACAGAGTGCATTGCAGCAGTCCAAGCGAGAGAGAAGCAGAGCATGCACCACTCTGGCGAGACAGTCTGTGGGCAGATAGGGTCTCAGCCTGCGTACCAGTTGGAGCTGGTAAATAGCTGCCCTGGACACAGAATTGACCTGTGCCTCCATGGACAGCTTTGAGTCCAAATGACTCCTAGGCTGTGCACCTGGTCCTTCAGGGGCACAGTTACCCCATTCAGAACCAGGGAGTCCTCCACACCTGCCCACCCCCTGTCTCAATGGCCCTCTAGTCCTGACGGCCATATGTTACTTCCAGGATGAGGGGTACCATGTCTCTGAATACCAATTGCAGAGGAACAGACAAAATATTTCTTAATTCTACAGTGGTACCTCTGGTTGAGAATGGGATCCGTTCTGGAGCCCTGTTCGCAACGTGAGCAGAACACAACCCACGTCTGTGTTTCTGTGTGTGCACGGGTCGCAATTTGCCGCTTCTGTGCATGTGCATGACGTCATTTTGAGCATTTGCGCATGCACAAGCGGCAAAACCCAGAAGTAACCCTTTCCGGTACTTCCTGGTCACCACGGGATGCAACCTGAAAAGATTTAACCTGAAGCAAACGTAACAAGAGGTATGACTGTATATTACAATATCCAGAGCCTTGAAGGGGTGAATCCTACATGCAACACTCCCCTCCACTCTCCCACCCAGAATGGGGGCAAGATTCACAGCAGCAGACTCTCACCCTGGAGCATGAAAACCCCCCCACCCATTCTCCCTCTGCTAGTTGAGTTTGGTTAGGCATACTCCCCAGTGGGTTTCGGATTGGAGACTTACATCCAACCGCCCTTGTGGGGCCCCCCACGCTGCACCTCTGCTTCTGCCCGAAAGTCCTACTCTGGGTCAGTGCCTCTGAAATGAGAGATTATAAACCAGCTCACTATCCGGAGCCATTATGGGCAAGAATAGAATGAATGAGCTAAAGATGTCCAGTTGGGAGAGGACTGTGTTAGGTCCTGACTAACAAGGAACAACAAAAGGTTCATGTTACAGGCATATAAAATACACGGATTTGGAATTTAAAAGAAGTATGCAAAATAAATAATGGACCGTGCATTAAGGGGGGGAGCTGGTACGGTAGTGTTTGTAAAACAACACTCTTTCCCCAGAAATTAATAGAGATGCTTTGACTGCTCCGTAGTCAACAGCGCTGGTCTAATTGGTGACCTTGGCAACAAAACCAGGTCATAGTGAGATCAAGCATATGTAGATCTTCTTGTTCAAATATACATTAGAATAAGAATCTTTTGTAAGAGTCCGCTGTGTAAGGCTGAAGATGGATGCTCCCACGCAGACAGCTAACGTTTCTTAGAATTGTTTACCTGTTGGGGAAATGGAAAGGGATGTTTTCCAGAGCCAGGAAGGAAAGGATCTTTCGCAGATCCAAGAAATAAATTAGCGTTGTGTTTTGTTTTGTTCTAAAAGTCACCTAGCCGAGCATTTGCATGCGTGTGGCTTTATAGCGCAGTGTAATGGTTTACTTTGGGCTTCTGATGTGCCTGGCACATATATTTAAATGTAATTAAGTAATCAATGGTGTACATTGTCAAATGAATGTTTAGGCTGCTGAGGGATACATTTCCAGCATAGTCATGGCAGCTGCGCAGTCGTCACTTACTCACCCATTTCTCCACTTTCTCCCATATAATTATGACTCGAGTTATTTACATAGCGATGATATTTCTTTCTTTTAAAAAAACAACCATCAAAATAAAAAGTACCTGGCAATGACTGGGTGCAGCTATGTAGTAATACCTAATACCGTTATGCCATCTAACACCTATGAACTGTTAATGGATTGCAAGGCTTTTTTTTTACTCTGATGGGCCTATGCAGTTGTTTACGATGTTCTGGATCAGCGAGTCATTTTAATGACTATTTTATATATCTTTTAAAAACATGATGCTTTATTTTTTTACTGCCTACCTATTGCTGTTTGCTGCCTTGATGTTTTGTGAACTGGCGGCATAGAAGTACTTCGATGAATAAAGATATACAGTACTAGGAAGAGTATCCTAAATATATAATTTAGTTAAGGAGGCGGCAATCTTATGCATGCTCATTGGGACTGGGAGCCAGAATTCTTTCAGAATGCTAGGTGAGTTTACAAATGTGCTGGTATTATTCATTGATTTATTGGTTGCCATTGTATCCTGCTTCCCCCCCCTAAAAACTCAAGGTGACACACATGGATCCCCCTCCTCATTTAATCCCCACAACAACCCTGTGAGGTAGGTTTGGCTGAGAGGCAGTGACTAGTCCAAGGTGCTGCTCCAGTGAGGTTCGTGGCCAAGTGAGGATTTGAACCCTGATCTCCCAGGTCTTAATTCCAACACTCTGCTACACCACACTGGTTGTCAATCTACTGAATCCTTCATTTTTCACCCGAATTATTCTCACGGACACCCTCATCTGTCTAGGCCTCAAGGTGAAGCACAGCAATCGCATTGCCTGAATCTCATGTATCTGCTCAGATGTTCCTGCTGGTGAACGACAAAGACATAGCAAAAGGCCCCGAGTTCAGAGGAGGGAGAAATTTCATGAAGATGTTCATTACAGGCGATACATTGCCATGGGCCAGAGTCTTCCATATTCCTGATGCCAGGTAGATGGCTGGTGATTAGGAAATGATCGCTCTTGTAAGGTTAATGTCTCCTTTGTTTCCCTTGCTCAAGTATTCCTTCTCCTTTTTTCATTTTTTGGCATGGAAGTGTCAACAGGTGCGAGCAAGTCTATGGAGACGCAAAGTGCCAATGCTTCATTTCTGGCGGAGGACAGCCTCCATGCACAAGAGAGAGAAATTGCAGAGTTGTGCAGACTGCCCATCAATCCGCATTGTTGCCTGGCACCTATATATCATCCAACATGTGTGTAGGCATCATGCCATCTGAGCAGATGGTAAAGACTGGAAGCAGCCACGCTACTATGTACAGTAGGTGTGCTCAAGTAAAAATAAAAGTGTGGAAGGTGTGATTCCCATCCAAGAATGCTGGGCTTGTTCTCTTTCTCTGGGATTTTGATACCCAGAGTTAAGGGGATGGCTGTCTGTCTAGCTGAGTTCTCATCTGGCTTCTGTCCCCCCCTCCCTTTGCCTGAAAAGCTTCCACTTTAGTTCTAAGGTGCCGCTGGCCTAGCAGGTGAATTGGGTGAAGTCTTGGGAAGGGGCAGCAAAACGCATGTTTTAAACAAGCGCTATTGCATCTGGCTTCCTCCCAGAAGACGTCGCAGATGAGATAAAACAAGCTTCCATGCACATCTGAGATTTATGCAAAATTTGCAGCAAGCCGAAACATTTTTTCCTGTGGTTCTCGACCCCAATCTGAGTTTCAGACAAAACCTTTCAGGAGAAAAACAATTATTGGCAAACTGCTCTCCTTTGAGGAACAAAGGCATTGAAGAAATTGGCCTCTTTAATAAGCAAGGACACAATCCTCTTCCCATGGAGATCAATGGCAACATTTCTGTTGATTGCCAGAGTCAACACTGTGTTGCAAGCAGCCAACTGCACATTATAATACCCAGCCAGACTTGCACTTGCACTCTCAGTCTTTCTTGGGTAGGGCAAGCTCTGGATTTTAATCTGAAACGGTAAGAGACAGGGAGTTGTACAGCACAAGATCATGTTCTGAATATATAGGTAGACTTAGCAAAATCTGCATTGTTATTTTCAGATCCATGTTGCGTTCATCTAGGAAGTGTTCAATGAAGCACCCCAGCCTAACACTACATGGCCCATGATGCATTGCAACTGTTACCAAAATATGCACAGAAAAGAACTCTTGTGCATCCCAAAAACTACATCCACATTCTGACCAGATAGAGGGTTGCTCACCTGTCAATCACATATCATTATCCTGTCAGGTGATGCTGCCCTGCCCTGCCCTGTGAACCTCTAGTTCTCAGAGCTTCAAGAAGCAGTGCAGGCTGTTTGAAAGCCCTTTTGCAAACAACTCCTTGCTGCTCCTGGAGCCACCAGTTTTCAGATGTTCAAGGAGCAGCTGTGGAAGTGCATCTTCAGATGATGGGTGGTGGGAGCACACCTTCCTTCAGCAAAGGAACACTCAAGAGCTCACTTTAAGCTCCAGATTGTTCCTTTGAAGGAACCTGGTGGGTGTGGCTTGCTCAGAACTCCCTGGTGGGCCAAATGGAAGAGGTTCCACATGCCTGTGGTAGAAGGTGATAGATTCTGAGCAGATGACCACTAATCAGGGGCAATGTACTAGGGGGTTCCCTGCTTTGGCAGGGAGTTGAATTAGATGACCTTGTATATCCCCTCCAACTGCACTGCTATGATCACTTTGAGATTTCATTTCACAAGGAAAATCTGCTCTCATCATTTCAGCCTCTCCCCTACCATTTAGTTGGGGGAGTAGTGGGGCAAACCGACATTAAACAAGGGATAAAATGTTTTGTTTTGTTATTTTAAAAAGACATTTAGTTCTGAACTCTTGCGTCTAAATCCATCTATCAGGGAATATTAAAGGCTGATGGGTTTTTTCACATTGAAGGCTCACCATTTCAGAATAAGAATGTTGTAAAATAAGTGGAACATGTTCAGCAACTAGCTGGCATCTGGCAGGCTGATGCCCTGTAAATTGTGCTAATGAGATGCAAATAAATTCTGCAAATTAGCTACAGTTCTCATGCTCGTGATGTATTTCTGATGTGGCCCTTAGTGCTGAATGGGTTGCCCAACCCCATCTAATTAGCTGAAATCTTGCAATTTAATTATCAGTTATCAGAAAAGCAACATTCACTTCTGTAGCTTCACCCCCCTGGTTTTATATATATATAAAAACACCAGTCTGCGCCTTCGTAAAATGTCTACTTGAATTTTAAAGGAGCCAATTACATGAATGTTTGCATGTAAAAATTATACCAACCTGGCAATTATGATGTGTGTGTGGAGGGGATGAAGATGTTGAATTGGATTCAGACCAAAATAGTTGCACTAAGTCCTGAGGAACTTTACATTGGTTTTGGTGGGACCTGAGTGCAACTAACTTAGTCTGAAATGAACCCCAGTGGACAGCAGTCCTGGTCAACAATGACCAGATTGGAGTGGGAAATCTCTATTTGCATATAGAGCATGTGCAGAGCTTCCCCTGATAGGCATGGAAATATGTCTTATTGCTGAGGTGGGTTTACACCTTAGCCAACTTTATTTCCCCCCATAATCCAGCACGTTGCTCCATTCAAGGCCTGGGATGCACTGGACCCTTTTATTCCCAGTGCCTCTCCTCTTCTCCAGCAGCTGCTATGGGCTACCCAAAGGAGGAGGCCAGCAGCAGCAGCCATGGAGATGCCATGGATGCTCAGGACAACACTGGCTCATCCTCCTCGCTGAACTTGGTGGTGGCAGCACTGCAAGGGGAAATAAGGACATTCCGGGATCAAATCAGAAGCTGGGATAGCTTTTGCCATTCCCTGACTGTTCCTGGAAAATTGGGACACTTGGAGGGTATCTCCTAGTCTCCTCCCTTTTCCTTTCCTTGAGGATCATCTTAAAAGGGCAGCCCAGCATGCTTTCTCCAGGCTGATGGCCTGCATTGATGGGCCTGTGTGGGAAGCACAGGGTTTCTAGTCGTTCTTTCAGGATGCAGATCATATATGAGTAAGTCTTTGGTTCAGGCTAAGTCGGGATTCATCATATTCCAGCATCTTTCCATATGAGCCTACCTGGACCCGGAAATCACCTTCTGAGGCCCTCCTTCGTGTGCCCCCTCCTCGAGAGGTTTGGAGGGTGGCAACATGAGAACGGGCCTTCTCTGCAGTGGCTTTGTCTGAGGAATGCTCTCCCCAGGGAAGTTCGCCTGGCGCCTTCATTACATACCTTTAGGCGCCAGGCCAAACCGCTCCTTTTTAACCAGGCCTTTGGTTGACGCAATTTATATCCTATGCCCTTTTAAAATGTGTTTTTGTTTGTCTGTGTGGAGGGGGTTATTGGGTTGATGTTTTTATTTTTACTAGGTATTTTGTGGATTTATGTCTTGATTTTATTCTGTGAACTATAAATTCAATAAATCATCATCATCATCATCATCTTGCCAATCACTCCATAGCTGAGCTGGTGCTCAGGATGAGGGCTCTGACATGAAGATAGGTTCCTGAACCAGGGAAACTGCAATCTTGAGTTTGACCTAGGGGAGTCAGCAGAGGTAGAGAGGGAAGAAAGAAATGAAGGGATAATATGTGTTCATTTCAGTGACACGTACAATGGCTAAGTTTTACTAAGCAGTTGCGTCACAGGTTTTTTGAAAAAAGTGGGAAGGGATTTGAAGGGAGAGAAGCAGCACCACGAAAAATTTTAGGGTACCAATTTCCCTGACATTGCCTTTACATGACATTGTGATTGGGACATGAGAGCCATGGCAATGCAGCCACAGAACTCACTGGGTTTGTTCACACAGTCAGAAAGTACTCTGCCCATTTATGGATATCAACAAACTGGAATGTGTCCTGAGGAAGGCAGTGCAGGTGTTGAGCAGCCTGGGGGTCAAGTCCTATGAGGATAGCGGACTGAAGGAACTGGCTGTCTCTAGCCTGGAGAAGAGACCATTATAGATGATAAGATCACCATCTTCAAATATCTGAAGAGCCATCACATAGATTTGGTTTTCGTTGCTCTGGAGGGTAGGAGTTGGACCAACAGGTTATATGATAAGAAAGGTGATTGTTGGCTAAACATTAGGAGGAACTTCTTGATGGTGCAAATTGCTTGACAGCGGAACTGACTAGCTTGGAAGATGAGGGACTCTCCTTCAATGTTGTTGTTTAGTCGTGTCCGACTCTTCGTGACCCCATGGACCAGAGCACAGAGACTGTATCATTAATACTAATCTAGTTTAAGTGAATCGTTTCATTTTTGTCATTTTAATAAAAGGTATCCAATGTACCACCTTGGCTGATGTGTGGTTTCAGCAGGAACTGTAATTCTGAGAATGTTTGTACTTATTTTGTTTTTCCTGGTAGCAAATCCATAAACCTAATGCAAAGAAAGGGTAATTAAAGAGGCAGCCATCTTTTTCTTCTTTTTCTTTTGCTCGAATCATTCAACAAGTTCCTATATTTTTATCTGAGACTTCAGGCCTTTCTATTCTTTCCCCTTTCCCTTCCTGCCACCCCCTGCCCCAAATCACAGTACAAAGGGCATATCCATAAAAAATGATTAAAGAATGTTACACAATTATCACTTTGGGTATATAAAAAAGGAAGTCCTGTATACAGGAAGTCATTTACCAGGACAACACCTGTTGTCATCCCCATGTTTTTCAAATAAGGAGTTACTCATGTCTCTTGAGAAAGAAGGTTTCCTATAACAATGGATGCCTTATTTCCTCCAGGAAATAGATACAGAAATAACCTTCCTCTAATGAAGTTAGGAAGTTCTTCCTGTGAAGAAGCAACAGTTCTCTCTCTCTCTCAAAGGGGGATTACAGTTCCAGCTCTCATTCTGCATTTTCACACATTAAAATACATTCAGTTGTCAGTGGTGGTGCCAGATAATTTTTCCCGGGAGGCGGGAGGGCACAGAAGGGGCAATGTATTTCTGGACGGGTGGGTTGTGCCCCACATGTTAAGATATCTGAAAGAAAAATAACAGTATCTGCTAAAGGTAGGAGGCAAGCAATGATGGGGCAAACATGGGGTTTTTTTGGGGGGGGGAATGCTTGCCCCTCTGTACCACTCTAGCACCACCCATGCCAGCAATAAGAAACATATAGACATCAGAGCAAACCACAGTTTGGTGCTGTTTGAAGAAAAGGCCTTCTGCTCACATGGTCTCTTCCCACCTCAAGGGTGGCCATGTGTCCTTCCCTATAGAGGGCAGTCCTCTATTTGAAGGACTGTCGGAAGGCAGTACTCCGTTTTTAAGAAGCCTTCCATTTCAAGGGTTGTCAGGTCTCAGCCTAAAGATCCATAAAAATGGACTTGATGGAGTTGCCCATCAAGAGTCAGCATCCATCTTGGGTTTTGCCTTGATCCTTGGTTCTGGTTTCTGGTGTGGCTGCTCCTCAATCTGATCCCTGGTGTGATTCCCAGCTCCTGGCTCCACCTTGACAGTTGCCTTCAACTCATCACTGATAGGGAACAGATGGTCCTTCTGATATAAAGCATGCATTGTTCGAATGAAGATCATTCAACTTATTTATAGCTCATTGTTTAGATCTTGTGTGCTAGCTAGCGAAAAGTGTAAGCCTCTTGAGCATGGGTAGGCAAACCAAGGCCCGGGGGCCAGATCCGGCCCAACTGCCTTTTAAATCCGGCCCGCAGATGGTCAGGGGATCAGCGTGTTTTTACATGAGTAGAATGGGTCCTTCTGTTTAAAATGCATCTCTGGGTTATTTGTGGGGCATAGGAATTCATTCATCCCCTCCAAATATAGTCCAGCCCACCACAAGGTCTGAGGGACAGTGGACTGGCCCCCTGCTGAAAAGGTTTGCTGGCCCCTGCTCTTGAGGAAGAAGCATCTATTGTGCGAAACATACAGGTGGGGGAAGACTTCTCCCTGGGGTATCTACATGCACCTTCAATGTCTTGAATAGTGCATGGATAAGTCTTGTTGAGAAGATGCTTTTGGTTGATTGGAAAGCTCATGGTATTGAGCAAACATGCTTAGCACTCTTGCAGTTCAAAGCAAAACTTCTGGGACACATATCTTTACAGGAATCGTGGGGGACCGTTTTTTGCTTCATGGACTTCATTTTCTTTGGGCCACATGCCATTCTGTCAATGACATCTTAGAGGAACTCACACATGCTAAGGTACAGTTGCAGATAGGAGACTGCCTGTACCCTTACACTCTAGCTTACTCACTGAGATAATCTGCAGGAGCACCACTGGTTGTTCCCCAAGCTGGCGAGGCTCATCTGACCTTCTTTATGGCCCAGCTCTCACTTCCATACATCACTACTGGGAAAACCATTGCTTTAACTATACGGACCTTTGTTGGCAAGGTGATGTCTCTGCTTTTTAAGATGCTGTCTAGGTTCTTCTCTTTAGTGGTCTTAAACATCGGGGCATAGGAAGTTGCTTTATATTGAGTCCACCTACCTTAGTATTGTCTACACTGACTGGCAGAGGCTCTCCAAAGTGTCCAAAAGAGAGTCTCTCCCAGCCTTACCTGGAGATGCTGGAAATGAACATGAGACTTTCTGCAATAAAAGTAGATGCTCTACTACTGAGTTACAGCCCGTCTCCTAAACCACTATGATTTTTTTAAAAATGGAATTGTGGTCTGCAAATACAACCAAACAAATGAAAGAAATAAAATAGGAAGGAAGGTTCATGAGGAGAGATTCAGAGGCAATTCCCAACCTAACCTAAATGGATGGGTTAAAGGACAAGTAATATTATTAACTCAATTTTTTTATGACCACTACTACTGTGATAACATGGAATGCTTTCTGGAGACATACAAATGGCCAGGAGAAAACCACCCAGTCCATCAAAGGCCTGCATCTCTCGATGCTGGAGATACAAATCACTTTCTATGGCAGCTCACTGTCTTAAGCCCAATTATCTTTCCTGCGGCTCACTCCATCTCTCTCTGCTGCCCCAGCTCCCTCTTGAACTGATGTTCGTGGTTTACATCTATTACTGACTCTGGGACACACCCCTTTGCTGCATGACCTGACAGCCTCGCGGAAATATATTCTGCTTGGTTTCCCACCTCCGACATTGTATCGCCTCTCCCTCTTCAATGTCAGCTGGGACAACCTCTTGGTTTCGAGTTGTGGTGCGGAGGAGGGAAACACACAAAACAAAACCCTGTTCAGCAAGAAAAAGCTCCTTGCAGGATCCTTCGGTGGCTCAGAATATGCCACTGAGGCTATTGCACACCCACCATATATATATATATATATATATATATATATATATATATATGGTGTGGAAAAAGGAGGAGAGTCCTTAAGGCAGCAGTCAGAAGTCTTTACAACCATAAAAGTCTGCATGTAAAAACTGTAATGAGTGCACTTCAGTTTCGGTGTAATGAAATGCAACTCAAAAGGGTAAGTAAATATTCTATCAGTTTATCTAAATCTGGACTGGATATAGGTAACATTGCTGTTTTGCCCTGTCCCATTTTATTATTCCATTTTAAAAAATATTAAAGCCCTTTCCCTTTTTTCATTTTGGTACATAAAGTCATTTTTGTTGCATCCTTGCATGTACCTTTTCATTATTTATTATTACATTTACAGCCCAGCTTTCTCCCAAAGAGCTCCAGGGGGCCTACAGATACCTCCCCACTCTCTGTCTCATCCACTTCCCCACTTTATTCAAATCCCCACCCAGCCATGAAGCTCACCAAGGTGACTTTGAGCCAGTCACTGCCTCTCGGCCTGACCTACCTCACAGGGTTGTTGCGGACATGAAATGAGAACAAACACTCAGACCTTGGGTTTCCTGGAGAAAAGGATGAGATATAAGTGCAACAAACAAACAAACAAACAAACAAACAAACAAACAAACAAACAAGTGCTCTTGTCCAGGTCTCTCTCAGGTTTCTGTGGTGGCCAGGAGTGCATTTGCACAGTTAGGACCCATTTGAATTACTGAAATGCGTTCTGCATGGGGCTGCCTTGAAAAGTGCTCAGAAACTTCAACTGGCTCAAAGACCTGTGGTCAGATTGTTGACTGGGGCTGGTTATAGGGAGCTGGCTATATAACTCCCTTATTAGAACAGCTCCACTGTCTATAAAGCCCTACACGGCTTAGGTCCAAGCTACCTGAAAGACCATTTTCCCTCCTGTGAATGGGTTTTTAGATCTTCAGGGGAGGCCCTTCTCTTGGTTCCACCACCCTAACAGGCATACTTAGTGGGGATGCAGGACAGGACCTTCTCAGTGGCAGCTTCCAGACTCCCTCCCTGAGAAGCTAGACTGGCTCCCTCCCTGTTGTCCTTTCATTGTCAGGTGAAGACCTTCTCATTCCAACAAGCTTTGGGGAACTAACCGCTTTTAATGACAGGGCTGTTGCCGTGCTGTTTTTATTGTAATTATTTTTATGTTCTAAATAAATTATATATATGTATGTATATGGTTTTAATTCTATTAATGTTTAATTGTTTTAGAATGGAGCCCTCCCCCTATTTTTGTATTTGTAAGCTGCCTGAGTCCCATCAGAGAAAAATGTGGGGTATAAATAGATAGATAATAATAACCTATTAGTTATGAAATTAATTATAAAATGACCATTTATACAACTGCAGATAAACATATCGGGACCCTAATAGCCTACATTTTACATAATGGGAGGGGGGGAGGCTGGGTGGAATCCTGTGTTTCTAGAGATTCTTTCTGTGAAGTTGTCTGATAAAAGACTTTAATTGAGATCATTTCAATATGCAAATATAGCCTGGGCCGTCACACAGTTCTAATGCTACGGCTGAAAGTACATATCCCAGCCTAACAGCTGTGCTTCTTCCATGCTTCCAGCTTCCTGCACAGGCAGCTTATCGCAAGCAATTATCTTACCCAAATAAAAATGGAAATGGAAAAGTTAAATAAATAACATAACATTTTGATGGAATCACTGTAATGTACTTCTTGGTTAACAGTACCCCTGACTTTTGGACGGATAGGTTTGTTAATGCACTTGTCCTTTCTTTCTGCATCAATCTCACTAAATCTTCACACACATTGCAATGATGGATGCCCAGCTGTCCCATTCGTATCTTACAAATAAGCCCTTCAGAAAACCAGAAGATCAGAAAAGGGATCTGAATCCTCCTCACTCGGCTTCCATCTGCTCCCACCTTTAAAATGCTTGGGAAATGTTTGAACCAGAGTTAACGAAAACTAGATGGCACGTTTGACTACAAGGATGTGCCATTTTACATGCTGTTGTCTTAGTTTGTTGTTGTTGTTTAGTCGTTTAGTCGTGTCCGACTCTTCATGATCCCATGGACCAGAGAACACCAGGCACTCCTGTCTTCCACTGCCTCCCGCAGTTTGGTCAAACTCATGCTGGTAGCTTCGAGAACACTGTCCAACCATCTTGTCCTCTGTCGTCCCCTTCTCCTAGACCCCTTCTCAGGGTCTTTTCCAGGGAGTCTTCTCTTCTCATGAGGTGGCCAAAGTATTGGAGCCTCAGCTTCAGGATCTGTCCTTCCAGTGAGCACTCAGGGCTGATTTCCTTAAGAATGGATCGGTTTGATCTTCTTGCAGTCCATGGGACTATCAAGAGTCTCCTCCAGCACCATAATCCTTAGTTGTCTTAGTTTACAGTTGCTTAAAAGAGAGGTGGGGAACTCGTGGCTCCACAAGTGGTGTTGGGCTTCAGCTCCCATCAGCCTCATCTGTAGTCCAAAAACATCTGGACTGGAGGGTAGGGAAGTAAGACAGGATCATTTTCCATTCTGCCCTGTATTTGAGAAGCACCGTGTCCATTTTGCTGCAGTTCATCTTCCACCAAATTATGTCACTTATGTTATTTATGTAATTATGTTATTACATTTGGTCATCACAATATCCCACCCCATTCATTTCCATGCAAAGGAAATAAAATGCAACGGCGGGGACAACACAATCAATTATATATTGTTAGCAGACTGAAATCAACAACAACTGAAGGTATTCATTGGACTGATTCCTCTCCCAGACATGGGACAAATAAGTGAACATTGGCAATCTGTTTCTCTCCAGCATGGATGTTCTCCCTGATAAAACAAACAAACAAACTTGAACTGGGAGACCCAAGGAAAGAGGCAATCACGCTGCAACTTCCAAAATGGAAAAGACAAATAAATAGCAGCATATTTTGATGGAGTCATTGCAGTGTACTTCTTGGTTAACAGCCCTCAGACCACTGGACAGAGAGGTTTCTTCAATAGACTTACTCTTTCCTTCTGCATCAATTTTTACTACACATTGAGCCCTGCTCAGCTTAAAATTTCTGGTAGGCTATATGGAGTTGAGGTGACAAGCAGCCATCTCCAGTGGCTCAGAACCTTGGGCATGGGGAAATCAACAGGCAGTGATTTGGGAATGCTTTGGGGGACAATGTCCACAGGGGGAGCCCTCCCTGGGTGGGTTCACCTTCTCCTATTCCCACTCCTTATTCACTTGCCCTCCCTCTGTGCCCACGTTGTACAATGTCCCCAGAGGAAGGCCATGAGACAAATGAAAGGGGATGATCTGTCTCTTGCCCCTTGCCCCTTCTCATGCTTGTAGCAAGAGCAAGAAGGAGAAGCCACAGGGACAGCAAGCTCCAGCAATTGGGAGTGGAGCCCCTGTGGGGGTGAGGGTCTTGTCATGTGACCATCAAAGCCTATCCAGCTCATGCTTTTGAATAACTGAATTTTATTATTGTGCCTGTTGACTGGCAGTAGTAGGAAACCAAGAAAGGGGACACAGTCCTTAAGAAATGTACCCCAGTTCTGTCATACCTTGGATCCTGAATGCCTTGGTACTTGGATGTTTTGGCTCCTGAACACCTCAAACCTGGAAGTGAGTGTTCTGGTTTACAAACATTCTTTGGAACCTGAATGTCTGACAGGGCTTCTGCGGCTTCCCATTGGCTCCAGGAGCTTCCTGCAGCCAATCAGAAGCTGCGCTTTGGTTTCCGAATGTTTTGGAAGTCGAGAAGGACACTGACAAACTGGAATGTGTCCAGAGGAGGGCAACCACAATGGTCAAAGGCCTGGAAACGATGCCTTATGAGGAACGGCTAAGGGAGCTGGGCATGTTTAGCCTGGAGAAGAGGAGGTTAAGGGGTGATATGATAGCCATGTTCAAATATATAAAAGGATGTCACATAGAGGAGGGAGAAAGGTTGTTTTCTGCTGCTCCAGAGAAGCGGACACGGAGCAATGGATCCAAACTACAAGAAAGAAGATTCCACCTAAACATTAGGAAGAACTTCCTGACAGTAATAGCTGTTCGACAGTGGAATTTGCTGCCAAGGAGTGTGGTGGAGTCTCCTTCTTTGGAGGTCTTTAAGCAGAGGCTTGACAACCATATGTCAGGAGTGCTCTGATGGTGTTTCCTGCTTGGCAGGGGGTTGGACTCGATGGCCCTTGTGGTCTCTTCCAGCTCTATGATTCTATGAATGGACTTCAGGAATGGATTGTGTTCAACTTCCAAAGTATGACTGTATGACGCTCTCTCTCCCACCCGCCAGTTGCCTATCCTGAAAATGTACAACTTATTGAGTTAGCAACAGCAAAGGACCCCAGCAGTAGCAAAACTTTTGTAATATTCACAATGCCCCTACTCTGAATGCTTACAGTGACTAAGTTTCATGTTCATCCATTTATTCAAAACCATCCAAAACAGAGGTTTAGTGTCAATCACATTTACAAACACAACAGTCTCAAATAATTAAAACAAACAAAAAACCCCTCTCTCTGAGTTAATTTCCCACTACACCCAGCCAGTAGGATTTATGCAAACTAACAGAAATCCTTTGCAGTGTAAGGTTTACACTTTCCAATACTTTGCCACACCATTTTTAGCAGTGGCTAGGGTGAAAAAATGGAAACCAAGGGTCTTTCAGTTTTGGACACCACTTTGTTGTGAACCTTGAACCAAATATTTAACCATTATCTATTAGAAGAAGATAAGAATAGCCCTGCTAGATCAGGACAGATCCTGGCTGAAAAAAAGCCCAGGTCTGAAGTAAGCGCAAGAACAAACCATGCCCAGCACCCAAGTAACCTGTTTGCTGATGTGGAACCTGCCCAATATTAGCCCAAACCAAAAGGTTTCCCACCCCTGTTTTAACAAATGAAAAATGTCTGGCAAATGAAGGAAGTGTGATAGTTGCCAGCTATGAGTAGGGCAAAGGTTTCACTCCTGGTTGAAGAGTTCCCTGAAAATCAAGAGGGTGTCTCTGTTTGCAGTCTACAATGAGGGTTGTGAAATTCAGGGGGCATTTGGGCTCACTCTCTTGGCAGTGCCGCTCCAAGTTTCTTGCTACATATTGGTTACTGAATATGAGAGGTATTTCTGATGCACTCTTGTGCCATATTGCACACCCTTCTTTTGAGAGACGCATTCCCAAGAATGCCGTCTTGTGTGAGAGGAGCCTGTGGGGTCACATCACGCTCTGCGAGATCAGAAGCTGCCTTTTCTCCTCCCAGTTCAATGGAGCGTCTTGAGCTGCGTGTCAACTTTGGCATGCAATCTACCCCATTAACAACTTCAGTAAAGGATCAAAGAGTCAAGTCAAAACTCCGAGGTGGCAGGTGGAGTGAACACAATGATGTGAATGCAAAGACACTCACCTGAGATATGGGAGCAATGGGGCAAAAGAAAGGAGAGCAATGAACAGATTTAAACGCAGAAAGGGAACACAGAAGGGAGCCCCCTTCCCTGCAAAAATAATTAATGAATGGAAGGAAAAGTAGAGGTGAAAGGATAAAAGATGGGAAATAAAAGAAAGAAGGTGGATAATATAACTGGAAAATGTATTTATGTGTGTGTATCTGGGGAGCTCAGATATAAGAATATGCATTTTTAAAAAGAACTTGGAGACAGAAGGAAAAGCCACAGGGAAGAAGATGTAATACAGGAGAGAAAAAATCCTTTGTGACTATATAATGGCTAGCATGAAGGGTTATTATTATTTTTTTAAAAATTCCGACCCTACCAACTCAGCTGTGACCATACCTAGGTGGAAGGTTTGAGACACTGTTGGGCAACATCCATGCTGCTTTTGTGTTCCTCTGAAGAGCTTCTTGTGTCCCTGACAACTTGTTCTAATTGCTTAAGTTCAAACACTTCTGATGTTCGATGTGGTTGTGAGCACTTTCGAAAAGGTGGCGGTGGCAAGGCCTTCTCTTTGTGATATCCATTGTCCTTCTGTTGTCAGAAAATGCTAAGGGATGTCTTTTGTATTGTGTGAGGAGAGATTGTCACAGTTTGACTGGAGCAATTTCTAAGCAGAAACAGCATCAGGACGCAGGGATGGAGGGGAAAGGATGATAATTGCAGAGTGGTTTCATTGGCTGTAAGCTTTTGCATTGAAGAGAGTGGAAAGCCTGAACACGTTAAACCAACACTGCATCTAATTTGGTACCCTGTCTCTGAATATTTCACCACAGAGGTGAGCAATCTGCGGCCCTCCAGATCTTGTTGGACTCAAACTCCCATCAGCCCCAGACAGCATGGCCAATGAGCAGTCTGGCTCCCAGCCCAAACATGCAGACAGAGGTTCTTACTGCAGGAAAGAGATCATTATTTGAGCAAGTAATGGTACAGGTTCCACAGCAGACACGGTGTTCAGGTATCACAATTTAGGACAGGGGTCAGCAAACCTTTTCCGTAGGGGGCCGGTCCACTGTCCCTCAGACCTTGTGGGGGGCTGGACTATATTTTGGGAAAAAAAATCACCCCCCAGCTCTCCCCTCCCTTCTCCATAGCACCGGACGAGCCCCAGTGGCTGCTTACCTGTGTCTTGAGAGCGGCAGGGGCTGGCGGCGGCAGGACAATGAGTGGCAAGAAAGGGCTGGCTCTGGAGAGGGGCTGCTTAAAATGGCGCTCAGCCAACCACAGCTCAACAAAGCCCAGCTCCCTTCTTCCTCTGGGTAGGGCAGGGAGAAGCCAGGAGGAGGGAGGGATGGCCCAGCCCAAATGATCAGAATCCCTATGCCAATCCACGTGGCGATTCTTGGACCGTCTGTGGGCCGGATCCAGAAGGCAATTGGGCTGGATCCAACAGGGCCGACCCATTTTTAGTTTGCCTTAGTTTGCCGGCCCATGATTTAGGAGTTCAGGACCATGGCAAGAAGTGAATGAACTGGATGGAAGCAACAAAGATGTCCCAATAAGTTCCTCCACTCCTTCTGCCAAGCTTTTAAACATGAAGCAGAGTCACTTGCCAGACTTGCTCGCCTTGTAGGAATGTTGAGACTGCAAGAGTGTGCTTTGTGGCTGGGTAGGTCCACTCTCTAGGTGACAAAGATGCCACCTCCTGATCAGCCTCCTGCTCTCAACTAATTAAATACCTTTCTGCTCTGTAGGAAGGTTGGACCAGAGGGCCAGCATCTCTTCCCTCCTTCCAAAGTGGCTGAAGTTGAAGTGGAAAGGGGGAATTCCCCCTCTTCCAAACCAGGTTTCCACAGTTCGGCACCCTCTCCATTTCCTCCTGCTCCTGCTCTTCCTCTTCTGTCAGTGCCTGCCCATCCAAGACTGATCTCAACTGTTTTGTGTAGCTCATGACAATAAAAAGAGTCTCCTAGATCTGTTTATTGGACCATCTAATCCAGCATCCTGTTTTCAGAGTGGCAAACAAGATGCCTATGGGATGCCTATACAGTGGTACCTCGGGTTACATATGCTTCAGGTTACATACGCTTCAGGTTACAGACTCCGCTAACCCAGAAATATTACCTCAGGTTAAGAACTTTGCTTCAGGTTGAGAACAGAAATCGTGCTCCGGCGGTGTGGCAGCAGCTGGAGGCCCCATTAGCTAAAGTGGTGCTTCAGGTTAAGAACAGTTTCAGGTTAAGAACGGACCTCCGGAACGAATTAAGTACTTAACCAGAGGTACCACTGTACTGCCCTTCACCCAAGGATCACAGGGCAGTTTACAATATAAAAACACAGAAATACATACCATAGTAACAAACAAAACAATAGCTCCCCTCCGCCACAGTTTAAAAGGAGTGTTTTCGCCTGGAGCCTAAAGATATGTAACAAAAACGCCAGGTGAGTCTCCCAGGGCACAGCATTCCACAAACAGGGACCCACAGCAGAAGAGGCCCTTTCTTGTGTTCACACCCTCCATGATTGGAGGAGGCACACAAAGAAGGGCCTCAGATGATTGCTGCATCCTGGTTGCTTCATATGGGGGAGAGGCACCAATCAAACCCCAATGCCCAGAAATCCAGAGGGCTTCTCGTAAAAACAGTATTTCTGAGGGAGGAAGCCCTGCAGTAGAAGCAGGTTGAGGATCTCTGGAGGAATACAACTATTACTAAACACATAGCACGAGAAGTCCCAGTTTCCAGACAAAATATACAGGGATCATAGTGCCCCTGCTGTAAACAGGTTCAGTTTGAATTGTGCGCCCCCATCACATTCTCCATTCATACTCTCCTTCTGCATGGAGAACAGCAGGAAACATGGCAGTCCCAGCCCATGTTTTGCGTTTTCCTGCCTCTATGCCCAGCACGGTGAGGGGAGGGTTTTGTAGTGGAACAACAGCAAGGGGGAGGAAATGATGCTTCCCCCACCTTCTGCTTTCTTTGTGCACCAGCCACTTTCCCTCAAGGGTTTGGAGGCTGAGGGGAAGGGCCTCAGGTAACTCAGTGATAGAGTACAGTGGTACCTTGGGTTAAGAACTTAATTCGTTCTGGAGGTCCATTCTTAACCTGAAACTATTCTTAACAGGTACTATTTCTGGGTTAGGGGAGTCTGTAACCTGAAGCGTCTGTAACCTGAGGTACCACTGTATCTGTTTTGTCTGCAAAACGACCCAAGTTCAGTCCCTGGCCAACCATGTTTATAAAGCCAGATTCCCTTGTTGTGCTTTAGCCACTGTCTGCAGAAATGACTCATCTTCTTTAAAATGGGAGACAGGCACCACTTATGCCAAGCAGAGGAACACCCCTTCAGGCTACTTGGGCAGCAATGGAACAGGTGGGAGAGCTGGACGTCTTCTCACAGAAGAGTTCCTGTTTGTCCTTGTTCTTACCTGTTTGAACAGCTTCAGGAAACCTTTATTCTCCCAAAGGGATATTGTAGGCACCGTTTTTTTCTATCTAGCTGTCTTTCATGCTCCAATTATTTCTTAAGCATGGTGATCACAAAAGAAGTTTCGTCCACAATGGCAAAATGATTCTTAACTGAATGGACTATTGTAGGCTGCAAGGGTCAGGCAATGTCAAAAGATGGCTTCTTCGCCGATCCCTCCCTCTTCCAATGCAAGACATGTGCAGAACCTCATCCTTCCCCTCAGCTTGCTTTTATCTTTGCCAGTAAACCTTATAAATATATACAGGCAAATGAAATGTTGGGTCTGCACCTGGCAGTTATGCAGTAGACTAGGCACTGGAGGCAAAGACAAATATCTGGATTGCTAAATGGCTGGGAATGAAGACATGTTTGCAAATGCTAGTTCCAGGTATAATAATAATAATAATAACAATAATAACAATAATAATAATAATAATATCCTGCCCATCTGGCTGGGTTTCCCCAGCCACTCTGACCGGCTTACAGTACACATAAAATGTACAGTATCATGACTGTAGAACAATTATCAATAGCCACCAGCTTTTCACAATGCCATATCATTATTTAAAAGCTCTGAATGCTCACAAGGAGTGGAAAAAGTGATTGGAAATAAAGGTGAGTCGAGCAGAGCCATCCACGTTAGCTGCTTCCTAAAATCAGTGATGGCCAATCAGAGTTCCCTGCATGATGGCATCACGGGCAGCAAAGGAAGCCAATTCAGTGTGAAGATAATACCTATTCTGGAAACCAAAACGGCAACAATAGATGTTGTCTCCACTTTGTTCTGCATAATGTGTTTAGGACAGAGGTGGGGATAACTATTGTAAAACGAGGAGAGATAAGGTTTTACAGATATCAATATATGGGGAGCAGAACAGAGAGATGTATAAGTAAATATACAATTGAGCCTGCTCTCACCTACTCATAAACCCCAAAGATACAAACAACAAGCTTTTCGTTCCACCTGTTGGCATATGTTGTAAAAAGGTACAACAAAGAGAACATCCATGGGGCTCCCTGACAGACTGCAGGAGTTGGCAGATGTTTTGCTAATTAAAAAGATTCAGTTAATGAAACGGCACCAACGGCAGACAAAGATGCAGAACTAGCACACACGTGCACACATGCTGTTAACCAGGCAGCACCTGCTTGCTAATTGTTTTAAAGCTGCTGTCAAAGTAAAGTCGAAAACAGAGAAGAGAGTGCAGGTTCTTCTTTCCTGAACAAGTGGAAGTCCCCGGGTCTGGTCTGAAGGCATGTGAGGCCGGCACCTTTCTGAAGCTAAGCAGGTCTGGGGCTGGTCAGCGCCTGGATGGGGGACTGCCTAGGGACCTACGCTGCCTTCAGGGCTAGACCAGGCACCAAACTGGTGCTGCCCCCCTCTTGCTTGCCTTGCTGCTGACCTGGGCCCACTGGAGCCTCATATGGGCTGCCATTGCCTTTGCAAGTCTTCTGCAAGAGGCTCATGAGACCGTAAAAGTCCTGCTGGATTTGGCCAATGACCCATCTAGTCCAGGATCTGGTTCTCACAGTGGCCAACCAGATGCCTGTGGGAAATCCACAAGCAGGAACACAGCACAGTACAGTCATACCTCATGCTGCATCTGCTTCCGGTTACGTGTTTTCGCGTCGCGTCCCGCGGCAGCCCGGAAGTACTGGAATGGGTTACTTCCGGGTCTTGCCACTCGCGCATGCGCAGAAGTGCTAAATTGCGCTGCACGCATGCGCAGACACAGTGCTTCGGCTTGAGAGGAGGGGTCCATTCTCAGAGCAATGCATTCTGGGTAGGGTGGTCAGAACTTTGCTTTGCCTCAGTGGCCAATTTCTCATAGCACAGCAGGGTGGAGAAGGAGAGCTGCCACCGCTGTGGTGGCAAAAAGAAAGAGAAAAAGAACCTGAGGAGACATGAAGGACAGGCAGGAGGAAGAAGAATGAGGTGGTGGCAGTGGGTCCCCTTCTTCAGTCAATTCAGCCTCTTGCACTGGCCCTGTTGGGTTCCAGGATGGAAAAAAAGGCTGGATAAAAACATAAGGAAAACAACAAATCAATAAGACTTCCAAACAACTCGTGGGAACCATATTTTACTTCAGGGAGTCTTCAGCTTTTTAATGTAGTCTACCCACCAAGGCAATATTCTGGCATTTTTAGAACTCCTTTTACTCCCTGTAACAATTTGCATCTGATTTTGTGTTTTCACCGACCATGGCCATCTCTATACTTAGGAGTGAAGAATGATCTAGTTATAATGAAGAAAGTTTGCAGATCATAGAAGTGAGTGCTTGCATGGAGCTTGACCATCCAGCATCTGCCAGGGCTGAGGGATCATGCCACTCAGCAGCCAGAGGATTTGTATCAGGGCAGTGAGGCCAAAGGACTGGGGTCACATCCACCCCATACATGACTTCCCCCAAAGAATCTGAGGCTTCCTCCTCCAGCCCACTTGACCCACCCCCCTTCCGATCTATCTGTCCATTCCCCAGTCCACTGGCTTCCTTCCCAGCCTCAGACACTTCTTGGGGTCCCATTTGCACTTCCCCCCTCCCTCTAGGACCCTGCTTGGGGTCTACTGTCACCTGATGTCATCATTTTGTCTGTGACGCGTATGAGAGGTAAGAGAGATAAGCATCTGGCCCACTGGCCCAGTCCTGTTCTAATAGTTTACCTGCATTTCCCCCATTCCACCCAACAGCAGCCCAAAGGAGGTAGGAGGCATTGTGGGGGTGAAGGGCTAAACCTCCTCGATCCCTGGCACTGATAACATTTTGAGCACTTTCAGTCACTGTTGAAGTAAAAGCAAGAAACACTGTGAGATAAATCACAGATCTCTCGTGCAATGTGAGGTTTGTTCCTAACATGTCACAGGCTTGTTTCCTCTGCTGTCTGCCGCAAAGCAGAATATGTTCCCTCATAATTTGCCCTCAAGTTAAATATATATAAAAAATATACAACTATTTGGTAACTAGCTTGCTCCAATGCATGTTTATCCTCTCTTGACAAGCTCTGATTACAAGGGAGGCCTTAAACCCCCTTATTATGTCTTTTCTCAGTCAGGCCCGTGAAACGTTAAAAAACCCTGCTATTGAATAAGCGTCTCACAAACGAGACATTAATCATGCCATTGTATAAACCAAGCACAGGGGAGGAAGAAATGAAAGTAAAATGCTGAAAACACAACCTTTACACTCTCGCGCACAACCATTTCTGATCACTGAAAGTGACGTTTAACTTCTCCGGCTGTCACTCCTCATTTTTGACAGGGGCTGTAAAACTCTTGCAGCTCTTTTAGAATTAAGGGTTGTTAACACAGAACTCTGCGTGTGTAGGGGGCTTCCCAGTCTTCTCTCTAGAACAGGAATCCCCAATTTCTGTTCTGTTTGAGAGGGAGCAACTCCCCTAAGTCAGCATATACGTGGTGTTTTCAGAACATTTGCTTATTTTATTTATTGTGCCCCTTTTTGTCTAGGGAACTCAAGGTGGTGCACATGGTTCTCCTCCGAATTTAATTCCAACAACAACCCTCACTGACTGAGAGGCAGTGACTGAGAGGCAGCCACTGAGTTTCATGGCTGAGTAGGCGTTCAGACCCTGGTCTCCCTCAATGTTGGGCCCCCTCAATGTTGAAGAAAGCTGAGCGTGGAGTCGGGCACAGCCCGGTTCAGTGGCTGGCTCCTCCTGAGTGCAAGAGATGAAGCTGTGCTGTGCAGGGGTCCATGCTCTCCTTCCTCTTGATGATGCGACGTCACACACACGCACACTGCACGCCAGGCCCCCTCAATCTTAGGCACAAGACAGCACCTCTGCTACTAGAATAGAAGGTCATTCAGTGTTGGAAGATTCAGGACAGCCAAAAGGGGCACCTTGCACATGGTTAAACAATGGAACTCCCTACTGCAAGATGGAAGGATGGACATTAGGCAAATTCATGGATAAGATTATCAATGGCTGTAGGTAGTCCACGATGGCTGTGGACTACCTCCAGTATCAATGCCATTATGCCCCTGAATACCAGTTGCATGGGAAGATGGATTTGAAGAGTGCTGTTGTTTCTGATAGGCATCTGCTGGTTCACTGTGAGGACAGATGCTTGATTAGATGGGCCTTTGGCCCGATCCAGCTGGGATCTTCTTATGTGTGCCATATGTTACATTTTTACAGGCAAAAATCGGAAGTTTTTACTTACATGCATGCAGTGCATACATCACAGCTGTTGGAATGCAGTCACCAGCCCCAATCATTTTTACACAAGGAAACACCAGAGCAGTTACTAGCCACAATCACTTCTGCGGTCTGAGGCAGCAATGATCCCATACAATTGATGTTATGCTTTTAATATAACTCTTCAGCATGCCTTGCAAAGTTTGCATGCACTTAGTAACTGTGGATTGGTTTCCACTCCTGGTGGTGCTATCTTCTGCAATGGCAGGTTCTGAAAGAAGAAACTGACTACTCTGTATTTATGTGACTGTTGGGAATCAGATGCCATCGGTGCAATTCTTTTACTGCCAGAGACATGAGGAAAAAAAATAAGACTCACCTTGTCTCTTCTGTGCTGGCTCATGAAGTTCAGACTCTTGGTCTTGTGGCTCCTCAGGCTACAGTTGATATTTCCTCTTTCCCCTGAAATTGCCATGCTGGCTGGGGCTGATAGGACTAGATGTCCAAAAGATCTGGATAGCCAAATGTTTGTAATGTAATGTTTTGTTTTGTTTGTACGTAACCTGCTCTGGAACCCAATGTTGAAGGTTTAGAATTTTTATCAGTCAACTAAGGTAGAGCTAGATGGTGACTAAACAAGGACAGGAGATAGCTGTGCAGCTTACAGCAAAGTATCCGGTTAACACATGTAAATTTCATGGACGTGTTTCATATATTTAACTCAAGGGCTTCCCAGCCTATTATTTACCTTCTTAAAGAAAATTAGATAGATAGGAGTGGAGTAAATGTTTGTGGAACTACGCTACTTCAGAATCTCCAAGGCAAAAAAATAAGAAGTAAAGCTCTAGAACGCTAAGAGAGAACTGCAAGCACAATGCTCTGTAAAAGAAACCTAAACTCCATCTTCACTCACAAATCCTATGGGAAAGAGGAATATAAATATGAAAAATAAATACAGCGGTACCTCGTTTAAGAACAGTCAGTTTAAGAACGATTCGGTTTACAAACGCCGCAAAACCGGAAATAGTGTCCCGGTTTGAGAACTTTACCTCGGTCTAAGAATGGAATCCGAATGGTGGAAGGGCACCGGCGGTGGGAGGCCTCATTAGGGAAAGGGCACCTCGGCTTTGGTTTAAGAACGGACTTCCGGAAAGGATTAAGTTCGTAAACCGAGGTACCACTGTAACTTTACCTAGTGCAAAGGGTCAAAGCTTCTAATGTGCTGCCAAAGTCAAGTCCTTCAGCAATGCATGGATATGCCTGGAGGCACAGCTAAGCAAAACTAACCAAGCTACCATGGCAGAAGAACCATGCTTATGTGGAAGAGAGATCTTTCAGCTCAACCCTTCACAACATGTGATCTACAAATGCAGCTGCAATACAAATATTGGTGTCTACCAGGTGCTGGAACTGGAATAAGGAACCTGGGGCTCTCCAGGTGGTGTTGGACCCCCATCTGCTCCAGCTAGGGGATTGAAAAATCTGTCACTTTCAGTCTCTCCCAGTTTCTCATTTTTCCAGGCTGAATTTCCGGACACCATGTTACAGCATCAGTTTGCATGAGGTTTTTTTTTAAAAAAATATTATTTAAGAAAGTTCTCATGAAAAGGTGTGATCATTTTAGCATATATACAGATTTTTTTGTATGCAATGTTGTATGAGAACTGGGGCCCCTGAATTCTGAGTGGCTCCAAGACATGAAACTATTTCCTCTATGTTCAAGTCACTATGCTGCTCTTTACTTGGGCCATACTGTAGATGTATTGTGGGGGGCAAGTGTGTAGACGGTTCTGGTTTGCAGAGAAAAGGTGAATTTGACAGCCCAAGATGGACATATGATTGAGAACCTGCAAAACTGACTTAGTCTGATCTGTCCATCCTGGTGCACTGCCAAGCCATCTGCCTAAGGGAACCCAGGCTTGGTATTCCAGAATCTCAATTCCACCCGTATTTCAGCTACAAAGGTACAATTAAAGTGGGAAACACAATATGTTTTGTAGTGTAATCCTGAACATTGTCTTTTGAACTATACAATCAATTGTTTAATTAGCAATGTCAAATTCCTTTCAGCTGGACCAAAAACTAAGCCTTAGCGCTGAAACCACTGAAAAATATCAAATGTTAACGTGAGTTTCTCTTGTGCTGCTTCTGTGTTCTTTGAAGGAGCAGCGCCTTTGTTCTAGAAAATAAAGCCATACACTCCATATACAACAACTGAAGTCTTGTATGCCCTACCTTTCAATGAGTAAACCTTGGAGAACAAAGCAGAAACCCTTCATCTTTCATCTGTCATGGGTTCTCAGAGAGAGACCAATGGCTGTGTTCTGTTTTTTTATTGAAAAATATTATTAAAGGCAGGCTTTCTGAAGGGTTGTTTCGAGCACATTCCAAGCAACATTTTAGGACATCAGAATATATATATATATATATATATATATATATATATATATATATAGTGTCACATTTAAAAATTAGCAACTTTTAAATCTTTTAAAAATCCAGTGCATACTTTTGGTGAAGCTAGGCCAGAGATGATAACTGTTGTGTAAAGAGGAAGCGTCTGTTAGTAGGATGCAGGGATGGGGAGAAATTCGGTTCACTTCACATTTTAATGTGAACCTACCTTATTTGCATCTCCTGAAACAATTAGCGACCAAAAACACAGCTATCCTTCAAAATTCGTACGTCTCCCAAACTGACAGTGCAGTTCCCCAAACAAAAAGTATACATACATAGCCACAGTAATGCATGTATTTTTGGGGTGTGTGTGTGTGGAAACCGCTACAGTATATTAAGCTAAAGTGCATTATAAAGGGGAGAAATGTGCCCTGAAATGCTAATTAATTTTTAGGAAGTCTTCTAAACAAATGCAAACTGATGCAGAAATGTGCCAATTGGATTTAAGATGCAGGGGGGGGGGGGAGGGACACACACACCATGAGGCACTGTGAGAAACCGAAATGGACAGATTTTTATTAATTTACTTATTTTAATAGCAGATTTATAAACTGCTCTACAGCCAAAAGCTACTGAAAGGTATACAAAAAGATAATCGGGCCTAAGTTGTTTAGGACTTTGTACACTAGCACAAGAACCTTGAACCTGACCTGGCAGCAGAAGAATTGCCAGGACAGGCCTTTTAGCTCCAGTGTCATCTGTTGGCGGGTGTCTGTCCCGACCACCAGGCTGGCTGTTGCACTCTGCACTGGCAGAAGCTTCTGGAACAGACCCACAGCAGGTTGCAATATTCTCTGGACTTTCCCTGCCACTGTTTGCATTTCTCAGCCTCCAGACGTTTTTTTCCTTTTTCTTTTGAGGGACGGGGAAGAGAACTTTTCTAATTTCAGATAAGAGATACTTCCCTTATCTCTCCCATTTAGCTTATTAGCTTTGGTCTTTGTTTCTTCTAAAAACGCAGCTCACTCTCGTGTTGTTTGCAGATGGACAAAGAAAACAGCCAGCCAGCTGTAAGTTTCTTGAATAAGGCGGCCTGGCACCACAGCTTCAGAGCACACTGGGAAACCGGCGATATTAACAGCCCACATGACTGTGAGAAGAGTTTTGTTTCCCTGCATGCCTACTTAAGTTTAATCAGAAGTTCGTAGCTGTTGAGTGGCTGCCTCTGTTTTTCCTTGGGTTGAAAAATGTTTCTCACACCCCTCGCTCCCCCAGCACGGAGTTTATCTGCAAAATGTACTCGAAGCATATATAAATCTGTATCTAAATGTGCTCGGCTCCTTAAGAACTCCTCTTTTCCAATTCTGCAAAAACCTCCCCCTCCCTCCTCGCCGCCTTCCCCTATACTGGTTTGGCAAATCCAACTGACCTTGGCATGTCTTCTTACAACACTCGATATCAGGAAGCTTTATAAAACTCATATCTCAGAAGTGTCTGACATTACATTACAAGAGGATCTGTAAACCTCAGCAAGATGACAAATGTCTTTTTTAAACAACAGACCAAGACTTCATTTAAATTAGTAACATGGAGATTAGAGGAGCTCTCTCGGGCTGCGCGGCAGCCACGCCGGGACTCGAGAAATATCAGTCACATGAAAGCTGTTAAATCTGAGATGGAAAATAAATCAAGGAGCCTGTAAAAACTGTCAGCGGGTCAGGGAAGTTTATGAACTCTTGCTGTATCTCGTCGTAAATCATAAGAATAAGCTAAAACTGAGAAGAAAAATGTTCTCTTTTGTAATCTAATGCTGTCTGTTAAGGCAATAAAACTCAAATGAAATGCATGCATTGCAATTTTGAGTTGATACTTTACATTATTACCAAAGTGAAGGGAAGAGTCTCAAAGTTATAAAAGTGAGACGGATGAGAGGTGGGCCTCCAGCTTCCCAAGTCACCAGACCTGGGTCTTCATTAGCATATGCCCAGAAAAAGCCACGGTCATTTTCTACATGTCTCCACTCACCAGTCTCCTTGGCTGCTTCTCTTGATGCTATCCTTTGCTGCTGGGGCTAGCAGGGGAAGTAGAAGCCCATCAAGCAGGTCAGGTCCAGGCAATGTCAAGGCATATCCCTCTAAGCAGGTCAGGACCCTGGACAACTCCCGATGGGCCCTGCTTGCTGAGCTTTGGAAGGTATTATCTCAGCCAAGACCTTTGAAGTCTTGTGTTGGCTGACAGGGCCTACACAGCTCTCGGTCTTGTCTGCTTGAGGAGCCAGCTTTGCTAAAGTTAAAAGGCTCTGCTCAGTTATGTAGGCACTGTGGAAGTGATGGGGAGAATTCACCTCCATGTCTAAGGAAGGTGGGAGAGTTACGTCCTGAGGCCTACAGAGGTGTGGGAGCCCCCACAGAGGTGTGGTCTGTATTTTCTCTACATCTTTGTTTTCCTTAGGCTAATGCAAGGGGTGGGTTCAAGAGTCACAACAGGCACTGGGGCTGAGATGCTTCATCAGCCACACACATGCCTATGTCTGTCTTCACTGCAGAATATGTAGGGGAGTAATCCATGCCTGAAATGACATTTTCAGGAGATGAGTTTGAAGAGCAGAGAGAAATAGTGGTGACAAATAGGCCTTCTTGATAAATAAAAAGATGTACAAACCACCAGCTCCATACAGTAGGCATCTGGGAGCTCTTAAAGAAATTGAGTTTATTTTACAAGTTTATATACTACTTAATCAACAAAAAACTCCTAAGCTGTTTAACTTGAGATATAAAATATTCATTTAAAATGCTGATGAAATCTTCTAACAAAAGTATGTAACAGATCCCCGTGATCAGCGGCCATAACTGAGAACAGATCTAACACCAGTTTTTTTTAAAAGGGATCTGGGTAGTTACAGACTCGTTAGCTTAATGTATGTTCCAAGATAACTGATGGAAAGCTATAATAAAAATAAAATTGCCAAGCATATAAATGAAGACGTCTTGCTGAAGAAGAACCTCAAAGGAGAACACCATCTATCTAACCTTTTAGAGTTCGTTGAAAATGCCAATACGTAGGTGGATAGAAAAGATCCAGAAGACACTAATTATATACTAATTACACACTATACATTTATAGCACATTCAAAACACATTTTCCCCTCAAGGAATTCTGGGCACTGTAGTTTGTTCAGGATTTCTGGGGACTGTAACTGTGAGTGCCTAGAATTCTTTGAGGGAAAGAATGTGCTTAGAATGTGCTTTAAAGCTGTCATGCATAGTTTCAAAAAGCTTTGTACATCAAATATATAAAAAACTGATATATTGTAGAGCAGTAAGGAGATAAGGGCACAGGTCCTCTTATCTCTCAGTAACTACTTGCAGATTGTCATCTAGTGACAAAATGGAAGTGGGACTTCTCTGCAGTGGCACCAGTCTCTGGAACACTCTCCCCCATGCAAGATTTTCATTCACCCTGTCCTTGTGACCTTAATTTTCTGTTTATATTCTAGCACGGTGGGATCAAATGGGCTCATCTATCTATCTAAACAGGCCATTGGCTCATCTTGTGCTTTTATGAGTACAGTACGATCACAACTTACACACGTTTAACATGTGTGATTTCAACCTTAGGCGGTTGAAGTCCAGTAGCTTGAAATCACACAAATTAAATGCATGGAAGGCAGAGAGCTTTAAAACTATTTTTGCACAGGGATTTCCGAGCATAGAAAGAGGTTTTAAGCTCTCTACCTTGCTTACTGTGCTCTCAAGAGATCTCGCAAGAACTTGGATGGCCCCAAGAGATCTCACAAGAGCATCCTAGAGCCCGGTAAACAAAGATTTGCTTGGGGGTCAAGACCCACTCGGCGCATAGCTCCAGAATAGCCTGAGCAGGGATGGTTCAAGGTGGAGGTTTGAGTATACACATTTTTTTTGCATATACACACTATCTCCATAATGTAACCCCTATACAAGATGAGATTGTACTGTCTTGGAAACCATCTTGGGCGAACGAGGAAGGCCACTTTGCAACTCCCTCATGGGGTAGGGCTTGATAACAAAGCTGAACCAAAGTGAAATAATTTCCCCTTCATTTCTCTCAATGTAACCACAAAAAAAGTTCTCTCTTACTCTGGAGGGTAGAGCTCAAACCAATGGGTTCAAGTTACAATAAATAAGATTCCAACTAAACATCAGGAAGAACTTTCTGACAGTAAGAGCTGCTTGACAGTAGAATGGAGGTTTTTAAGCAGAGATTGGAAGGACATCTGTCATGGATGCTTTAGCTGAGATTCCTGTATTGCAGGGGGTTGGAATAGATGACCACTGGAGTTCCAACGCTAAAATTCTATGATTATATGACACAAAAGTGAAGTTTCTAAAATATTTCCTTTCTTACACATGCAGGTTTCACATACTTTCACACCTCCCACTATGCTCCTGATTATGCTAAATTTCTCTACGTGTGGGAAATGTTCTCTCTCCCCCCCCCACTAAAAAAACCATGAAGACTTTTCACTTCAGAACTAGCTTCATGCCTGATTAATCTTCTATGTGAGTTGTCTGGTGAGTACTAATCGCTTATACTTCCTTCTGCAACTTGGAAAAACATGTTTTATACTTGCCCTCTAGACACAGACAGGACATCAGGATTAGAGAAAGGCTATGAAACAGCTCTTCATCAGTTTCTCCTCATTGTTACTACGGCGCGACCTTAATGACATCACTTCCTCTTTGAGAGAGCCTGTATAGGCAGGTGCACAGGTGCCTGAGCATTCTGTTTCCTCCAGTCTGCTCATCGCAAACGCTTCCACAACAACCCTAAACTGTTTTCAGAAATCAGACCCTTCAGCTTTTATGATACTGGCGCTCAAGCGAAAATTTAGCAGCCTGAAGCCTGCTACAGCCCCTGCTGCCTCCCGGGCTTTTCTCACTGAATGGACGGAAATGCTTTAAACAAGTTGTAATGATATTGAAGATGAATGGAGAGTATACAGCGTTTAAATCCCTGTCTGCAGTCCTTGTTACGGAACAGTGTGATCTCAACACATTCTTTGCTGATGAAACTGAAAGGGGGGATTTTGACATTTGTTAGCATAGCAGGGAGAAGAGCTGGTCTTTTTGCGGAGAGGAAACTGGGTGTAAGGTAGAAAATGGGACCCACAAAAATGAGTAAAGAGAAGGAGAACATTTTACACCTTGGACTAATCTTTGAAAAATCCCAAATATGTCAAACTAGATTTGCTCATGTTTCTCCCTACATTTGCCTTGATCTTCATAGTTTTATCGTGTTTATCCCAGGCTCGGGTTGCCATATGTCTGGATTTTCCTGGACATATTTGGAATACTGCAGTTGGCAGCAGTGTCTGGGTGGAAATTGGTCTAATGTCTGGGGAAATCCGGACGTATGGCAGCCTATGTTGGCAGCACTGTTTTTGTCGTTTCCCCATAAAAATAGCTCAAAGCTCAGCAACTTTTCTGTCCGGATTTTCACTGTTTGAAATACAGCAACCCTATCCCAGACCCCCTCTTACTTCCTCACTGTTTAGATTGTCAGCTCCTTGGGGCAGGGAACTGCTTCTGCCATAACGCAATATTCACTTCTCTCCCACAATAACCCTGTTAGGCTGAGAGGCAGTTGCTGGCACAAGGTTACCATGCTGTTTACATGGGTGACAACTCCTGGGGTCCCTGGGAGCCTGGGCAACAACAAAATATTCACTGTGCATACCTGGCCTCCACCCACCGCTGCCTGCTGCCTTACCTCCAGCTCTCTGGTGCCGTGGCGGCAACTGGGCAGGGTCCTCTGCCTCCATTGTGGGACCTCTGTTGGGGCCTGCTGATGCCGCAGACGTGCACCTACATTGCGCCGCCCGACCCCCGTCGCCACTGTGAAAGTGGCGCTGGAGGGCAGTGGTGGCATGGGTGTGCGTGCGACATGACATCATGTGACACACACAGGCTGGGGCCGAAGTCAGCACCTCTGGCTGTTTAGGTTGTTGAAGAGAAAATGAATACAGTGGTACCTTGGGTTAAGTACTTAATTCGTTCCGGAGGTCCGTACTTAACCTGAAACTGTTCTTAACCTGAAGCACCACTTTAGCTAATGGGGTCTCCTGCTGCCGCCACGCCGTCGGAGTACGATTTCTGTTCTCATCCTGAAGCAAAGTTCTTAACCTGAGGTACTATTTCTGGGTTAGCGGAGTCTGTAACCTGAAGCGTATGTAGCCTGAAGTGTATGTAACCCGAGGTACCACTGTACAGCATGCAGTAGGTGAAAAAGAGCTTTCAGCAATGCAAAAGGGATAGGGTGAAAAAAGGGGCTTTTTATCTGTAAAATGTAGTCAGATATGTATTCCCAGGTGTTCCTTTTGTTTTTCCAGCCACTCCGCTCGCGGGCCTCAAAAATAAAATGTTAACTGTCTATGGCGCATGCCAGTCCTTTTGGGTGATGCATGGAAGTGATTCTTTATGGCTACTTCCACCAACCTGGTGCCCTCCAAGCGCGGAGGGTCTTGTCTGTTTTAAGACATCTCTGGTTATGGATGTGCAGAACCAGCATGGGAGGGAAGATTCATCTAATCCTTATGAGTCCTCATGCTTCAGGGCATAATAATGTGATCACCAGATGTGCCCAGAAGAAATGTGTCCCTTAGGAATAATAGAGCAAAATTAGGTGCTTTGTAGCAGCCTTTTTATGGATTTTTGTGATTCGCCCAGCCTTGGACGGTACTGAAAGCAAAAGAACAGTGGCAGTTTAAGAGATGGCTTGCATCTGCACCCAGGAGCCGCTAAAGAGGGGATAGATTATGGTCAGTGGCCAAGGCAGCAATTTTAGGGCACAGTTATGCACACACAGATCCCAGGGGTTTCTCAATTGGAAAGAGGAAAAAAATGCTCAAAAATCAGAGGGACATTTAAGACAAACATTTAAAGGCACATTGCACAAGAATGAGAAGAATTTATTGTCTGTTTCAATGGATAATCCTTTCCCCAGGATGAATGCCAAAGGAAGGAAAATATTTATCTCAAGGAGAGTTTTTCCTCCCCGTCAGACTCTCCCTGCTCAGTATGAGATCAGCTATTGGAGCCTTGCTGAAGTTGTTAAGCTATTTGGAGATTGGATTAGTTTCCATATGAAGCAGGGCCTTCTCTGTAGTGGCCCCTCAGAATGTTCTTCTGCCTGACTTTCTTTCTCTGCATTACTGTTTCACAAATAGGTTATCATTGTTTGGGGAGTGCATATCTACCAGGTGTCATGTGCATGGCCCAGAAAGGAGTGAGGAGTGCATTGGGAATTGGTGGGAGGGGTGGGTGGGATATGGCAATCTTAAAAGGATCAGATCGAGCCTGCTGGCTACCAACTACCATACCCTACTCTAAACAAAATTTAGGCTCTCACATTCATCTTTATAATACCGCAAGCTTCCCAGTAGATTTCCAGTTGCAAAGCATCTTCCTCCAATGTCAGAGGCAGGAATGCTTCTGAATTCCAGTTGCTGGGAAGTGCACGAGGGGACAGTGCTCATGTGCTCAGGTCTTGCTTGTGGGCTTCCCATGGTTGGCCCCGATGCAAACAGGGTGCAGGATGAGATGGGCCACTGGCCTGATCCAGCGGAGTCTTCTTATGTCCCTATATTCTTATGCTCATCTCAGGCCTTAGAGAAAGCAGAGGCATAGTAGGAGCTGACATGGATGGAAAATGAGGAGCAAACAGTAGTGGAAAGACGCACACGGTATAAAACACCATGGTCATTGGAGAAAGTGGACAGATTACGGAATGGAAGTTCAGTGCAATGAAAATGATAAGGAAAGCAAAGGCAAAGAATTAAAGGAACTGAGGATTGTGCAAGAGATTAAGACATATAACAGGCCAGTGTTCTGCAAGGACAGAAGGAGCATGAGGTCACTGAAGGAGGAGGGAGGCCGCTCAAGACACAACAGAGGTAACGTGCTGACATAAAGATGTTTCTGAAATCTGCTTGTCCTGTGTTCTGTGCCTCAAGATGGTCACAAAAGGAAGACAGGGCAGATGCTGGACACAGACGTAGAGTTCCCCAGGGGCAAGGGGCAGGGGGAAAGTGAAGCTAACACCAGACCACCTTATGACTTCCTAGAACTGGCAGGCAGCGTCAGGGAATGGGATATGACTTGAGGAAAACAATGTCTTATCATTATGCCAGCTGAACTAAAAGGCGAAGCTGGGAAAATGCTTTCACTTCAGGCCATTGTTATTAAGCCAGTGAGCAGAGCACCCGGCTGCCTTGCTGGCAGCTAACTGGTGCACAAACTCAGCGGCCTTTTGCCAAATTGACGTGAAGGAGAGGCTGCCACTAACTTCAGGAAAATGCGGTGGTGGTGCGTTGATGTCTATCATCAACGGGTGCCGGATTGTTTTCCGGCAATCCAGAAAAAAGGAGGTGGGGGAATGACTCTGAAAGCAATTGCCACTTAGGTGGAGATTTGTACAGAGGCCATTTGTACACAGCTTTAAAATTGCGGCACTGGGCATATTGTCACATGTGCAATCTCTCCTCAAGACCTACCCGAGGTCAGTAGTTTAGTGGCAAATTCAGAAGTGCAGGGTCCCTTCACAATAGTCACAGCCATGCCCCCTTCAAAGATTATACAATAATTTTATAATTATACAATAATTTTATAATTATACAATAACAGTAATTTGGGATGCACTGCAATGATTAATGCAGATCTCTGCATGCATTGCCTTCCAGTTAGATCCACTATTTGCTATGCAAATCCATGTGCAGTTGATTTAGAGTGCTCCAATGTGTTCTTTCTGAGTGACCTAAGTTGTGTTTTCCTCGAAGATCCATTGTAAGTAACAGAACTTGCATGCCATTTCTTAAAACTGACCACCTCATATTTTCAGCCTTCTCAAATGCTCAGCTTTGAAGCATACGGTGTTCTTCCTACATATTCTCCAGAGTCACCCTAGGAGCCAATCATCAGTGGCTGACTCACCTCCTTCAACTCTGATTGGCTTCAATCAGTGCAAAGGGTGAGAAGACTTCTCAGTAGCTAAAAAGCTGATTGGCCAGCCGTAGGATGTTGGAGACAGGGAATCTGCTGCAGAAATGGCAATGGAACTTTGACCCCACTCATGACCCAGACCACTACATCTCTGTCTCAGGCACGCACAAATTCCTCTAGCATAGGAAGGGAATTGCCAACCTATTGCTTGCCTGAGTTGATCCCTACTCACAGTCCCTCTATTGCTGAACTGCAACTCCCATCAGCCCCACCAAGCATGCTCAACAGCCAGGGGTGATGGGAGTTGTAGTTCAGCAATGTCTGAAGGTTCCCTGCATCTGATCTAGTGAAAGGACTGGAGCCCATTAGTGGCAAACATGTATTGCAGGGAGAAAGTTCCTGGTTCAGTCCGTGGCATCTCCTGTTGAAAGAATCAGCTAAGAGGTAATAAGATAAGACCTCTAACTGAGACGCAGAACAGCCACTGTGGTCAGAATACCTAACACGGGGCATGGCTGACAAAGTCTGATCTGGTATGAAGCAGCTTTCAACATATGTAGAACGGAAGATTCTTTATATCTGTGCAAAGGAAAATGAAAGTCCTAAAACGTATCTTTCGCTCATTTTCTTCTTGAGGTTGTCCAAGGAAGATCACCTCCTGTGTTTGCCTTGATTTTGCGCCACCCACCCCAAACAGATTCAACCATTTGATTAATGGCATTTTGTGTTTCAAGTTAGAAGTGTCAGCAAGACTTTTGTATGCTGGTATTATTCCCCTCTGGAACAATAGAGTTCAGTGAAGATGCAGGGATTTGTGCCAAGTATTCTTGAGGACAGGAGGTCATGTGCCACTTTTCTGCTAGGATACAGAGAATATATATATATATATATATATATATATATATATATGCAGAGAGAGAGAGATTTTAGGGTGTTGGAGAACTGAATGTGTTCTAATAATAAGCAGATCACATGGTGACTAAGTCACCTACAACAAAGCTTAGTTTGTGGAGGTGATTCGGAGTGCTAGGAATTAAGAACTTTCGTAAAAAAAGAAAAGAAAAAAAGGATGTCAGCAACACAATACAGGAACAGATAAAGGGAAATTCATATGCAACGAAGCAAGAACATCTAAACCAGCACCACTCCAGAATTAGCCATACATTTGTGAGTCCCCTTTAAGCACCCTCTCATCAGGCCACCTTGACAGGCGTGTTCACATGTTCAGAGTCAATAATATCATTAGCCCAACTAGGCAGCCGCTTAGGGCACAGACGTTTGAGGGGCACAGTGTTATACAGATTAATTTTGATTATATCTTATAAATTTCTGATAATTTTATTTTTATATTTTGAACGCAGTCCCCCACCCCACCCCAAAGCTCATACCTATAAAAACGTACAATGTTGCAAAAGAGACTAGTGAAAATAATAAAATAAATACTTGACTTGGCAGCGATATCATTTGAACATGTGCAAGCATGTTGACTTGAAGGAACTGGTGTCCAAAATTGCAAAGAAAAAGGCACACGTCGTGAAATTTGGATGTGCCTGGAATCAAAACTTTGAAGAGACTTGAAATTTTAACATCACAATTCACCAGATTATTCAAAATGAATTTTGTGCTGGAAAAAATTCTTTTCTATTTGAGAAAGATCAAAGATGGTTGCATTACTTATTCTTGCAATTTAAAATAAACGGAGCAGTTTCAAGTTTTGTGCGTGTCATTTTTCCTACAAGACACCTGTTTTTGAAAACTGATGTTAGCAATTTGGCAGCGGGACAAGTGCTCTGCTCACCTTTTCCGGTAGATGGTGTTGCAGCCAGGCATCTGGGCTCCTGCAGTGATCCGGTGGGGGGTGGAGATTGACACCCCCCTCGTGCCATCCCGGCCACATCACCAGCATTGGGTGGGGCCACACCCGGGGTGACCCCGCTGTCCAATCAGTGCCGGTAGGGGGCATGGCCACAGGAAATTTAAATTATGGCACGGCCAGGGAATGCTCCTCTCTCACCCTTTGCTGGATCTTGCCCTTCCTCGCTGGATCCTATGTGGCGATCATCTTTTGCAGCCTTTGGATTAAGCCTTTTGGTTTTGCCTTGGATCGAGCAGCCCGGTGGTTGGGGAGTTCCCTGCCTTCACAGCCTCACCACTCACTCTCCTGCTTTTAGCATCCAGTCAGTTTCGGTGATACTGAGTTGCACTCGTTTGGTGGTTGCTGCCAGTCAGGGTGGACAGTACTGAGCCGTATTGTTCAGTGGTTGCTGCCGGTCAGTGTAGGCATTATTGAGCATTTTGGCAGCGGGACGGGGAGAGGGCAAGTAGTAAGTAGTTTTCCTGGGGCACAAAATAGCCAGGTGCTGGCATTGCACACACCACATTAAATGAGTGTACAATCTGTGAACACCAACAATTGCGCTGCACTCTCATGTAGTTATTCACCTGTAACCTTCAGCGAGTCTACAGTCTGATGGGTAACAGTGATAGACCTAAGTACATGGAGCCAGCCAAAGGTGAGCTGAAACAATTCCATATCCACAAACCCTTTCTGAAACTGAATTGAAGCATTCCTTATATCTGTATATTAGTGATAAAGTGGTGGTAAACATCCCAGGTCAGAACGCTGTTACACAAGCTGCTTGTGGAAGGCCGAAATTGGATTCTCCCCAAGTCCCTCAAAATTCTACAGGTATTTTACCAGAAAGCAACAGACCTTCACATGGGTTCTGTATTATCAAATTCACCTCAGAGTTTTCGGATTCCTCTCAGGCAGGAAAAATGCACTGGAAATTCTGTTCAAGGAGAAATTAGGTGTCACCTTTATTAAAGGACTACTTGATTTCTTTTAAAGATTCAGTTTTTGTTTAAAAAATCAACAACAGACTTATTTTGATGGGACCATGAATTCACTTGACTCTCCCACACTTCTTTTGGAAAAACTATTTTTGTTTGTTGAAATTTCTTTAAGTGACTAGTGCTCACTTGTTCACTCTCTTTCCTTTGCACTGTAATACTCACCGTGTTCTGTGTTCTTCAGCAGCACTGCAAAACGTCACCATCTTGTGGAAGTCCTCTTTGAAAAACGTGTTCTATTTAAAAATCTGTAGCGATGGTTTGGTTTGCCTTTGGTACTACTCAGGACAGTACTGTCAGCTTGCACGATGATGGCGCTCAGGGCTCCAAGAGCTGCTGCCTCCCAATGTCTTATTGGTTGGCAGGGATAAAAACGTCAGGGGATATTAGGCAACCAATGAGGGACTGAGCTTGTAATATGAATTTGAGGCCTGGCCTCCTCATGTCTCTGAGATGTGGTGAACGAAGGCATAGCTGGAGAGAAGATGAGAGTCAGTTCAGTGGTGGAGCTTGGAGACTCAGATTTCAGCGGCACCCTGTGTGACACCAAAATTCAGTGCCCCCTGCCTCTCGCCTTCCATTTTACATCATAGCTGTGGTACCTCCCACAGCACACCCGAAGCTCTGTGCCCAGTGTGACTGAACTGTTTGTGCTTCCCTAAATCTGCCTCTGATTAGTTAGTGAAACGTGTGTCCCCAGGTGAGAGGCGGGGGAAAATTGTGTGCACCTTGGGTGAGAGATGGGGTAACTTGTTTGATGGTGTTATAGATTTTTTTATTTGGAGGAGGGGTCTTGCTTGATTGATGTTTAATAATAATAATAATAATAATAATAATAATAATTTATTTATACCCCTCCCATCTGGTTGGGTCTCCTCAGCCACCTTGGGCGGCTTCCAACAAAGTATTAAAATACAGTGGTCTGTTAAACTTTAAAAGCTTCCCTAAACAAGGCTGCCTTCAGATGTCTTCTAAAAATCTGGTAGTTGTTCTTCTCTTTGGCATCTGGTAGGAGGGCGTTCCACAGGGTGGGTGCCACTACCGAGAAGGCCCTCTGACTGGTTCCCCATAACTTGGCTTCTCGCAGCGAGGGAACCGCCAGAAGGCCATCAGCACTGGACCTCAGTGTCCGGGCAGAAATATAGGGGTGGAGACGCTTGATTATGATTGATCTGTATTGTGTGACCAGGCAGCGACAGCCCCAGCTCCCAGGGATCATAAGAAAGGAATAAAGACTCTGACAACGTGTTATGGAATTAAAATTAGGCCACAACTTTATTAAACTTCTGAATGTAGGAAGACCTTGGCTTAGGCCTTGGACATGTACCCCTCCCAGCCCCCCCCCCAGCTGGGGGAACAGGGGAACATCTGGGTAAATGCGATATGGGGGTGCACTGCAAGACGTAAGTGTACGCAGGCAGCCCAGCCCATATCCCCACACGCAGGGTAGTTCACTGACAACCTTTCAGTGTATGGCCAGTGACACCCGTTATATAACCCCTTTTGAGAGGGGACCCTGGAATCACTGCTGCAGGGGGGTGAGTCACCATTTCACCCCCACCCCCCATTATAGGGAAGAAAAGACTAAAGGATTCCACCCCAGGCCATAAACCACCAAAGTTGTGACAAATTGCTACAGGGAAGACAAAACGTGCCAATGCAGGAAAATTTCTTCCCGGTCCTTCAACAGCAACCAGTCAAAGACCGCAGCAGCGTCCACAAAAAAGTAAGAAAAAGTTAACCTGCAAACAAGAAAACATTAAACTAAGTGAGGGGAGGGTGGGTGAATCTCCTGAGCTGACTGCCTGGCTACTGTTGGCTCCACCCCCTATATATAAATGGGACTGGCCCCACCTCCCAGCAACGAAATATGACTACTGAGGCTGGGTGCGAACCTCCAAATAATAACACTGAGAGGCAGGCCAGCCCCTGTTTGCCATTAAGTTCCCTGGGAACTGTAGCGCCGCGCGTGATCCTGCAAAAGGCACCCACAATGTAAAGTGTGATTGCTCATTTTGTGATTTATACATTTTCAATTCATTTATTGTATTTGTCATGCTATCATTTTCAATCCATTTATTATATTTATATATTTATTGTATCCCTCACAATTAGGAAATATTGCTTTTATTTGTGAATGCTTTATTGTTGGTGCGAGCTGCTTTGACCTCCACTTGCAAAAGCTCAAATCAAAATCAAATATGGGTGAAGACAGCAACTCAGGGAAGATGCAGGCAGGAGGTGATGCTAAAATGGCAACCCAATGTCACATGATTTCACTGCCAAGAGATACACTCCAAGTTCAGATGAATAGAGATGAAAATGCTATGTGAGGACCCAACGATAATTGAAAAATGGGCCACAGGTTGTACAACTTGTCAAAAACAGACACTAAAGAAGGAAGTGGCGTCTTCTCGGGTCTAGTTCAAATACTCTTTTCTGTGCAACATTGAGATGTAGTATGATTGCCACACTTCTGTTTTTGAGCAAAGTCTTATTCTCCCAAAACATTAACTGAACATTCAGTGCAGACTGGCCAAGTTGTCTCATCTAGTTCCCTAGCAAAACAGACAGTACTGTGTCACTCTAAGGGGAAGGGAAGTTCCAGAACTAGGAATAAATTCAGTACATAACACCATGGCATTAAATAGGTACAGTTCGAGGGTATGGAACCCTGCTTTACTTAAAAAAAAGGGGGGGGAAGGAAAAGGGAGCAGGGATACAAAGCTTCCCTATAAAACCTTGCTGAATGAATAAAATAATAATAATAATAAAATTTTATTTATATCCCGCCCTCCTCAGCCGAAGCTGGGCTCAGAGCGGCTAACAACAGTAAAATAATACAGCATTCTAAAATCAATTCATTATTTGGGAGGAATTCAGTTTATGAACCATAATGTTGCTCCCCCCAAAAAGCATTTCTAGTTAGTGGACTTTGCTGGAGCTGGGATCAAGACCACCTCAGCAGCCAGTCCAAATATATACAGGTCATCGCTTTGAAATTCTTCTCTTGTTATTTGCACAGGCGAGCAAAGGCCGCCTCTTTTTCGCTTCCCAGGAAATTCTGTGTAAAATACTCAACGGACTTCAAGGAAAACTATTCATAAATACCCGGAGCCTGATATAACGGAAGAGCTCTTGATTTCTAAACACCGGGCAACAACATACACCAATCTTCTTTATTTTCGCTATCCCAGTGTGCGTTTCTACATGACTTTATGGGCACAGCCTCTGAGGAAATATCCTCAGAAACTGTAAGCCACTAGAGGCCTCCTGATTACTTTAATTGATTTCATTTCCAGGAAGGCTGCTGTTTCCTAAAAAGTAGATCAGCCTAACAGAAGCAAACAGTTCACAATCTGCAGTGCCAGGTTGACACAGAGCCCTGGAAGGATAGCTGAAACATGCTGCAGCTAAAATAAAAAGAACAGAAGAGCACTTGGAATTTCAGAGCTTCAGTTACAAGGGGGGGGGGGGTAAGGAGGAAGTCATGGTGAATTACTCCTTTGAATGTAGCCTGTATTTGTTTGCAGCCTGACAAAAGGAAGAAGCAATGGCTGCATTCCTATACACATATACCTGGGAGGAAGTGCCATTGAACTTAGTGGGGTTTACCTCTGCTTAGGACGAGTGGACCTTCGATTCCATATAATATCGGCAAAGGGCCAATATTCATATTAGTAATTTGAGGGCTAAAGACAATCCTAGCAAAAGACCATAAAACAGCCAATTAATTAGACTTTAAAGACATCAGTTTTTATAATTTTGTGTTATATCCTTTGCCAATCATAGCTCCGTCATCATCATCATATTTGCAATGCAATCAGTGAACCCTTCCCTTCCTTGCAAATGTTACTGCTGCCTTTCCCTCTTGCCCTCTCCATCTAGGTTTAGCCCATACCACTATACAGAATTATGGTGCTGGAGGAGACTCTTGAGAATCCCATGGACTGCAAGAAGATCAAACCTCTCCATTCTTAAGGAAATCAGCCCTGAGTGCTCACTGGAAGGACAGATCATGAAGCTGAGGCTCCAATACTTTGGCCACCTCATGAGAAGAGAAGACTCCTGGAAAAGACCCTGATGTTGGGAAAGATGGAGGGCACAAGGAGAAAGGGACGACAGAGGATGAGATGGTTGGACAGTGTTCTCGAAGCTACCAGCAGGAGTTTGACCAAACTGCGGGAGGCAGTGGAAGACAGGAGTGCCTGGCATGCTCTGGTCCACGGGGTCACGAACAGTCGGACACGACTAAATGACTAAACAACAAGAACAACTATACAGAAAAAGTGGGATAACTGAGCAGAAGCCCATGCTCTTTCTTATTGAATTTGTTGCTCCTTGCACAGATGGAAACAGACTCAATAAACACACGTTTATTGCGTTTTAATCTTAGAAACTGACCTAAGGGAAGATTATCATGGAGATGTTTGGGATGGTTAGATCTGTAATGTAACAAAGAATTTCTATCTGTGCTTTTCTTATAAGGATGCACTTTGATTCTTAAATCATCCACAACAATTTCCAGATGAAGAAAAGGTAAATAATGTGGACTTGATGTCCCATCAAAGGTCAAGTGTGGACTTACACTGTTGATCCAGCGGTTAAACGATTCAAAAATATCCTCAGAAAATATGAATATCAGATCATCTATATATTGGACATAAAACAGAATATATTCACTAAATGGATTATTATGAACAATGTGTTCTAAATCAAAATTTCTCATAAAGATGTTGGCCACACTGGGAGCACATTTCGAGCCCAAAGCTACACCTTGTTTTTGAATGAAGTACTTTGAACCAAACCTAAAGAAATTATTCGATGGAACTAAATCTAGAATCTCCATTAAAAAATGGTGGAGAAGACTGATTATGATCAACTAGCAATTCTTGGATTAGAGATTGTACTTGTCTTAGACTCTGTGAAAGGATTCTGTGGAACTGTAACAACCCTGCATGTGGATTATTGGACTCTAAGAACAGACAGGTGGAAGAGATACTTATAGATGTATGGGCCTTATGCATGAACTGACTAAAGAATGAACTGATCCACTGGGTCTTCTGCTTTTTTCGTTGAACTTTATGAGACTTCTGTTGAAATCTACAATTTGATACAATGAATAGTATACCTTATTTATTCAAAAGTACAGCCGGTTACGTCTTGTGTGTTTACTGAGTATGTTTCACGTAACCGTAGGTTTGTTGTTGTTTTGCAGATGGAAACAGAAGCATTGTGCCAAAAGAGAACTGTCATTGGCAGTCATGAGCAGTAGTAGAAGGCTAGAAACCCCACACTAAGGCTTGCACATGGAATTCCAGTAGCGGCTTAGGGGTGTGGCACAATTGCAAGGAGTCGTCCAGAGGAGAAGCCAAAACATTTCTGCTTAGGCATAAATTTTCATTCAATTTCACTCGGTGTTGTTTTCTCTTGTTCTCTCCGTTTTCCTATTGTTGAGCCATTTATTTTCAAATATATTTCTTCACATTGCAATGAATGGGTAGTGCATCAGCTACTTTGGGTTGCATATACTTTTTGGAAGAAAAGTGCATTATAAATCCTTAACAACAACCCCCCCCCCAAGAAATGTTAGCACAAGGGGGGGGGGAATCATATTGCAGACATAGAAAAAAAAGGAATGCAAATTCACATTTTATATGTGCAAGGAAAGGAGGGTTTTAGAAAGGGCGCGGGGTGGGAATGGCCAAAAGCTTCTTAGCTTCCTGAGCAGCTGTGATGATTATTCCAACAGTGGTCAACTGGTAGATGACACAAAAGGAGAACGAACATTTCTTGACCTTTCCACAAGGCTGCATGGGCTATGGGAATAGGCTGCATGTGCAGCTCTTAGCTGGAATTGCTAGCCCAGAAATGGGAGAATTTAGGAGTATCTTAAAAATTTCCCAGTGAAATGGGAGGCAAAGTAGTTGTCTCATCTTCAACTTATCCTTCCCATTTGCTGATCTTTCTGTATACCTTCCTCAGCTAAATGCAACAGGGATAACCTGCTCAGCAAAGTAAATGAACAGGTGCATACCGTTCAACATTTCTCTGATGAAAATAGAGATAATATTATTATTATTATTATTATTATTATTATTATTATCCTGTCCATATGACTGGGTTGCCCCAGCCACTCTAGGTGACTTCCAACATATATAAAAACACAATAAAACTATAAAGGTCTGCCTTAGATGTTTTCTAGAGTTTGTATAGTTACTTATCTCATTGGCTCAGGGGTCACCTAACTCCATACCCTCCAATATTTCTCCAATGAAAATAGGGAAATTCTAAGGAAAAGCAGGACATTCTGGGATGAAACCAGAAACCGGGACGGCTTCTGCAAATTCAGGACTCTCCCTGGAAAATAGGGTCACTTGGAGGGTCTATAGGTGTGGTCTCTGGTGTTGTGCCCTGCCAGTCGTAATATATGGTGCTCTGCTCATGTGTATGGACATGGATCCAGCTTCTGGCATGCCCAGGTCACTTTTGAAGTATTGATGTTTGCAGGAGTGAATGATGGAATTCTGCTTGTGGCATGATAACTGACTTGCGTGGGAGCCCGGACCCCGCAGTCCCATCTGCACTATACCTTAAAAGCAACACCACACCATTGCAAGCAGTTGTGGCCCCCCCCCTGAATCCTGGGAATTGTAGTTTGCTAAGGGTGCTGAGAGTGGTTGGGAGAGCTCTATTCCCCTCACAGTGCTACAGTGGGATTGAGAGCCAGTGTGGTGTAGTGGTTAAGAGCAGTGGACTCGTAATCTGGTGAACCGGGTTCGCTTCCCTGCTCCTCCACATGCAGCTGCTGGGTGACCTTGGGCCAGTCACACTTCTCTGAAGTCTCTCAGCCCCACTCACCTCACAGAGTGTTTGTTGTGGGGGAGGAAGGGAAAGGAGATTGTTAGCCGCTTTGAGACTCCTTAGGGTAGTGATAAAGTGGGATATCAAATCCAAACTCCTCCTCCTCCTCTTCTTCTCTCTGTGAGGGGAATAGGGGTCTCCAAATCACTCTCAACACCCTTCATAAACTACAGTTCCCAGGATACTTTGCGGGGGGACGACGCTACCCATGACTGTTTGAGGTGGTTTGATATTGCTTTAGATATATGTGCGGATGGGACCGGGGGCTGTTCAAACCTTTCCCCCATCAAAATCATGTAGCGCCCCATGGTTGTACAAGTGGGCCCTGTGCCTATCACTTTAAGGAAAGTTCTGGCAGGTCAGACGTTCCACTCTTGCCTCACTGAGCTCAGAAGTTCAACTTCTTTTTTATCCCCCCTCATCTCCTCCCCTCCTGTCCCTTTTTTGTTTAGTTCGACCTTGGTCACTGATGACAAGGCTGCTTTTCCTGCCAAACCAATCAATAAGCTAAACAGAGAGAAGATGAGTATTTAGAATATGGGAAGCCAAACTCAAACACAGATAGGTTATCAGCCTAGCCCAGAGCAGACTTCTAAGCAAACATTTCATTAACAAATTTTTCATGGCAACTTGCATGTAAAAAAAAAGAGGAAAAAAAGATGGCAACGACAGGCGAGAGGGAGAGAGAACAGCAAAACGGATAAAGTGAAGGGGGGGGGAAAGAGAAACATGGACAGGAGGCTTAACTGTGGCACAGTTGTCTTTGGTTACAAGTACGACAGGCTTCTATATGCTGCGACTCTCCGGGCAAATGCTAAGTATCAGGGGAGGAAGACTTTGTGCAAACAGAACGTTGAAAAACCCAGCCGGCTCCAGAAGCATCTTTCTTTGCATTGCAGGCAAGGAAGGAAAGCAAAAGGGTTAACAGAAATGGTCTGAATTGTCTTTCTGGGCCAGTTCTGAAGTTTGTGACCGTTGAAACCTTGGGTGTCCAGCAAGAGTTTCCATGTATTTGCTGATAATAAGAATATCTCTGACCGATTGTTATATTCTGTCGTGATCTTGTTGACGGTGATGTGCTATGTAGAACAGAAATCTACTGTGTCACTAGGCTGAGCAGTTGATTGTTATTTTTATCAGTGGTTATCATAGTGATTTAAGGGACGCGGGTGGTGCTGTGGATTAAACCACAGAGCCTAGGGCTTGCCGATCAGAAGGTTGGTGGTTCGAATCTCTGTGATGGGGTGAGCTCCCGTTGCTCGGTCCCTGCTCCTGCCAACCTAGCAGTTCAAAAGCACATCAAAGTGCAAATAGATAAATAGGTACTGCTCCGGCGGGAAGGTAAACGGCGTTTCCGTGCGCTGCTCTGGTTCGCCAGAAATGGTTTAGTCATGCTGGCCACATGACCTGCAAGCTGTACACAGGCTCCCTCGGCCAATAAAGCGAGATGAGTGCCGCAACCCCAGAGTCATCCGCGACTGGACCTAATGGTCAAGAGTCCCTTTACCTTATCATAGTGATTTATTCCTGCATTGCAGGGGGTTGGACTAGATAACCCTTGGGTACCTTCCAGCTCTATAATTCTATGATTCTATAGTGGCTGCTGCATTATTAGGTGTTCTTTCACGCAATATTGGAGGATAAGAGACAGGGGTCTGAATGTGCTTACAAACAAGCCTACTGTACATTAGGGGAAACTGCCTTTGGAAAACTGTTGGAATGTGGCCCTCAGAAAGTTACCCAGAAGACAATGTGGCCCTTAGGCTGAATAGGATTCTGCACCCCTGTCTTATAAGCTGCACATTGCACACCATACATCTTGGTGGGTCACAGCAGGCCCATACACAAGCTGTAATGGACAAAAATAGACAGGAAAGGCCCTAGGCATAAAATTAAGGCCTCTTTGAAATAAACATTTGAAAGATTTTTTTCAGTAATGACTTTAAGATAAGATCATAAACTTGCTCAGATCTCTAAGATCAGATCATAAACTTTGCCAATAATGCAAGGGTGGACCCACATACACACATCTGTGCACATGTGTAATTTACCAACACCCCCCACACAAATATTGTGTGTGTATGTAGGTCAGGAAGCAATGAACTCTATATAAGACAAATAGATCCTTCTGGCTAAGGAAGACTCTGAATCGCCCTCCACCTTTTACTAAAATGAAACCAAAATCCAAATCCAGCATAAAGCATTACAGTTTTAAGTACTGAAAATATTTATTATTTTTATACCAGTAATCCAATAGCATAATCTCAAGAACATCAATGCTCTAGGAATGTCTAGAAACACAATGGATTTGCGTTTATTCCTTTATCCAGATGTTGCATAAAATGCTCTGGATACTAGGAATCTGCAAGGGAATTAAAGATTTATTTATTTTTAATACTTGAAAAAAACTTGAATTTCTAATAACCATGATCCTTTAAAATGTTTTAACTGCAGACGGGCCATTTTAATTTCCTTGACATTTCCTTTATCTTTTTTTTATTTCCTCTTCCAAAACTTGAGATGAAATAGTATCAACTGGTAGCTCTTGTGGAGCTGCAAAACTCTTCCATTTTTGTCTAGCAGTCTTATATGTGGTAATAAAATTAAGAGCTGACTGATACCATCTAATTCCACAGGTTCAGATGCAGATTCCCTATGATCTCCATCTCTCTCTGTGGTTGTGTTTGGGTTTTCAGTCCTCAGGATGCTCGTGAAACTATTTTGCATCTGTACTTTCATGCATTCATGTGGGGGTTAGATTTTCACCAAAATCCAGTATTTCAAGATTAGTTCCGATACAACCAGCAGATGAAGGCCTTTGAGAGATCCACTGGGTGCAGAATGGCATGTGAAACACAACCCATTGCTAGAGGACGTTCTGCTCTGCCAAATTTTGTCCCACAGATCTCAACAAAAGCTACTGAGCTTCGAGATGATTCCTTCCCCTGCATAGCCTCACCTCAAATTCTGTTTCTTGGTCACACTGGTGCACGTCAAAGAGACAGAACGCTGGTTCTACTCTAATACTGGTGCTGGTTTTCAAGGACTCACTTGAAAGCTATAAACAAAATTCAGAAACGCATAAAAACCCCAAAGCCTGGATTAGCAATGCTTTGCAAAGTACTAATATCTTGATCTCATCTTCCGTGTAACTAAAAGCAACAGATAACGGGGAAATGCTTTAAGGCATTTCTTTTCTTTGCTGATGCCCTTAGGGCTCAACTCTGAACTTTGTTAACAAAAAGGAATTGCCGGAGGCAAAATGGTAAATTCCTCTTGCTATGAGGACTGTAAAACTTGCACTTCCAATTGTTTCCTTTTTGCTGTGGCTGGGACATTGATCATCCCCACCGCAGGCATGTTTAGTTGCATTTTTTAAAAAACACACACCCAGACATTACTGATACACATCTTCCCTTTAATTCATGCTACTTTGTGATGCAACAGGCAACTTGCTAAACATAGAGGACCACCATGATGAGCTGACATCTACCCCTACTACAAATCCAGTGTGTGTATCTGCCTTACATTGATGCAGGTAACTGGTCCCTTTTAGACCAAACACGGACAATTCCGACCCACAGCGCACTAGACCCTCCAGCAAAGGTCTCTTCCAGCCCAAGAGATCTTTTCGACTGAAGATGCTGCAGACTGAACCTTTGACCTTCTTCACATGAAGCAAATTCAACAAATTAAAAGGAAAATATGGGAGGACTGGCTGAGAAGCAAGAGGGATGGAGAGAAGAGGTGGAAAGCATTCAGAATCTATATTAATAGATGCCCAAAGGTCATTTGACATACCGCCGATTATATAATTCCCTATTGCCTGGATGGACAAGCTGAAAACTAATCAGGAGTTTAAAAAAGGACACATATGCGAGTTATTATAAACAGGTATAGAGGAGCACACGAAAGATTACCCAACAAAGTAAAGGGAGTATAAAAATGATAAGCTAAGCCAAGCTAGGAAACATGAGGAATTGAAAAGGAGATTGCACAGGAGGTTATGATAAATATTAAGGGTCTTTCCCCCCCTCCCCATTCACAAAACAGGAGGAGAAGAGGTCAGTGTAGGGGATTGGGAGGCAACTAAGACATGGTCGAGATAATTTATCGGAAGAATAGGTAGGCATTGCGGAAAATATTAAAAGAATTTTGCGCTTTGGTGCTCTCTCCAAGAAGGAAGGGTTGGGGACAGATGTTAGAGAAAAGCATACATTTCTCGAGGGAGGAAAAGGAAAGGAGCAGGCAGAAGGAACACAGGGATATGCCAAAAACGGTAATCAAGAAATTAAAATATCGGAGGATCTACTAATCTCATTAATCAGACTGGATGCAAAGTGGCCATTTAGGCTATAATTTTGTGCTCTCAGTAGACATGGGAATACAATATTCAGCACGCAACAGACACTTTCAGAAAATGTTGTTATTCTTCCTACAATGTCTGTCTGTCTGTCCTATCATCTACCTATCTACCTATCTATCATCTATCTATCTTTGTAAGTATAATTGGAAGGGAAATGTGCAAGCCTTTCCTACAGTTAAAAATAAAGTCAAATCCCTCATTCTAAATCATGCTTGGCTACGTGGATAGTTTTGAAGCATGTTCTCCACTGAAATAAATGAGACCAGAGAAGGACAGAAAGAATACAGGCCTCCCACCAATGGGGAACACAAGATATAGCCACAGCGAGGATCCACATTTGAGATGCCAAGAAAACTACCATTTCACTACATAGAAAAGTCACCAGAGACGCATTGTATGCAGTGGGAATCAAACGCACATTGGAAACTGAATGGGAGGAGTAAAAGCAGTAGAGACTTCACATTTAATGAAAGACACCAGCTGTATCATCAGAGAGGAGGCCGTGCCTAACAAGCTTGCAGGAACTTTTTTTTTTTGCAAAGTTAAGTTAAAGGTTGAAAGGGGACAGCCATGGATATCATTTCTCTGGACGTTGAGAAACCTTTTGATTCGATATCAGACAAAAGATGACTTCCTAAGGTCAGCAGGGACGGTGCAGGGCTGATCTACCTCCGTAGATGTAAAGAACCAGCTTGGATATCAAAGCCATAAGGAATTCATCAACGGAGGCTGCGGGTCAAATGGA